TCAGTGCAAAAATTTTAACATGTTTTATACAATCTGTAAATTACAATATCTGATTCTATATTCTTTCGAGAAAAAAACAGCGTTTATTTCGTTCGTTTATCACAGAAATTGCAGAAATAGGAGCAAATTTAGTAAATGATTGCAGTTTTTATGGATTTATAATCGCGGGTATTTAAATTAATTCTGTACCGCTGCCCTTACCGGAATTTAAATGCCCGTAGGATAAAGGTTAACGGACGTTTCCCGCCCAACAGCAGTCTCTAATACCTCTGGTAGATGGGGGAAGCATTATAGATACCTCTCAGCTAGTAGAGCCGGTCTCGCTGCCTGGGCGGGACTGATGGTAAGCACCAGTACCGGTAGGATATAGAGACTGGTAGAAATCATAGAGGGAGGCACAATGGACCAATACAGGTCTCAGTGCATGGGGAAACCCACCCTCTCCAATAACTAACTAACTAACTAACTAGTACTATTTAGCACTGTTTATTATATTTGCCAAATTTTGGACCAAGACTTGCCAGAATTCTCTTATTAGCTTCCCCATGTATCTGTCATCTTGCACCTTATTTATATGTGCTTTCCAATTTAGCTCGTGATTCTTTACCATATTCCCAGTTTTTAGTAGATATTCAATACACTTAATCAAAGAAATGATATGTAATACTTAATAATTGTGCAATTGCATGCATCTATTATTGTCTCAAATTATGAGTTTCTTGGTGCATATTTGCAGATGGAACTCTAGATCAATTAGTGTATTAACAAACTGTTGCGTAGGTGTATAAAAATGTGAATACTTTGTTTAGGACCAGTCTGGTTATCTGTTTGGCCCAAGCTTAGCTGCCACATTAAACAATATTCCTACAGCACTTCACTGGTGGACAGAGGAGTGCAAGCTGTTAGATGGGGATTCCAGTCCTGATTGTGTAACTGGTAAGTGTTCACATGTATTTCTTTTCATTCCTTGTTAAGCTCATGGTGAAGATTGCATGTTTCTGTATTCTACAATTTGAAAAAATGCCTGGTGTATATGAATATGTATGTATGTAAGGGGTGGGCAATAAAAACTGGCCCCTGCACTGCGACCTTAAGTGATCTATTGTGCTTCCCCTTGGATTAGCCCTTTATTAATCCTACACTTTTAATAAAGTGTAAGACCCTGCTTATGGGGGCATCATAAAAGTCACTTGGTTCCATAAAAAACTGACCCAAGTGACGAAATCTTAAATAAGCTATGACCTCACAATCACACAGGATATGTGTGGCTGATTTGTGTATAGGAGTACCTTCTGATATAATGCTGCAAGCACATTGTTTTGGATGTGGCTGCCAATTGTATGTGTAGTGGAATGTCAATGCTCTGTCAGTCTGTTATTATATTTTATTTTGGAACTCAAAATACAAAATTAAAATAACACATTTAAACCATTAGATTGACTCTCAGTGCATGTCATTCTCCTTGTCTATAAATTCAGTATGTAACTTATTAAAATATAACCAGTTTTGGGGAAATTATGTACTTGTACAAAACAATTATATTAATGTATGATTAATAATTGATTGATTGATTTATTTAACATCCATAACTGTTACATTATGTACAATTGGACAAGTCAATTTTTAAAAAAATATATGAGATTAAACATCACATCAAATGACTAATAATATAAAAAACCATAGAAAAATAACATAATAAGTCCTCTAGAGCTCATTGTTTGCTAGTTCACAGTAGTCTTGCAAAAGCACAAATAGAAGAACAGCACAAAATTAAAACAGCCTATTAGAATGTTGATGTGAGCCTTAACTGCTTGAAAGTTCTTTAGACAGTGTTTGTGTACTGAAAGGCCATACTTAAGTCATGCTCTTGTTAGAGCCAACTTTGGCTTAGAAAAATTGAACTCCTTAGTCATAGATTCAGATGTGATTTCACAGTATTGAGTTGTCTTAAGTGAAACTTATTGTATGATTCTGAATTTGAATGTCATCTAAGATGTTTCTCTATAATGTTTAAGGCTTAGGTTAACTTGACTGCACATTTCTCTTTTCCTAATGAAAGGAGGGACTAGCTTTATATTCGTTTTGGGTGTTCTTGCTTGGTTTTATGTGAAAGTTGCACATTTGAATAAGGAAGGAGGAAGGGGCAGTGGCAGCTAGGGAAGACATCAGTGTCAGATATTTCTGTGAACATTCTGCATTTCGAGTGTGAAAATTAATAAATCTTTCCTTACCAATTTAACACCTTCAGTGATGCTGATTTCTCAGTTCTGCCAGGTGGAAAGACATGCAGACAGTTTTCCTACCAAGTATGCAGTGCCCATAATATCAAACGACTGTTTTATGAAATTCCAGGGCAGATGTTAACTGGATAGTATCTGAGTTGGTGGTGGTTTCTTGGAAAATAGTTTTTTATTTGTGCATACAGTGTTGAAATAATACCGACAGTCAGGTGCAAGATGACAAATTGATTTTTGCTAATGATTGATGTTAAGTATAAGGGTCATATACTGTTTTGTTTGGAAGTACAGTTAATAGCCAGTTTTGTGTTATTAGGTGTGGTGCACAGTTTGGTGCCCCATCTGGAAAAGTTGCGTGATGAGGAGCTTGCTGAACGCAGAGAAAAGCGTAGGAAACAACAAGAAGAGGAGGAGGCTAAGAAAAGGAAGTTAGAAGAAGATGGAAAGAAGGGCGAACCTGAAGGTATGTCAGTAGGTGGCAAAAAATCGCATATAATAATGCTCATCTGCATTTAGTCAGATAACTTAAGGTTTGATTCTTATCATTTCAGAAAGAAGTAGTTGTGTAACATATCATGCTAACCCTTCTAGACCCAACTTACATTCTTGTCTTAGCTTTAAAATTGATCTTGGAGAGATATGAATGTATAAGTGGTAGGCCTTCTCGGCCCTTGCACCGCGACCTACAGTGATCTGTTCTGCTTCTTAGAGAGATAGGATGGGATGGTATGGATTAGAGTGATCTGGCTCAGGATAGGGACAAGTGGAAGGCTCTTGTGAACATGGTAATGAATCTTCTAGTTCCATAAAATGCTGGGATATTCTTGACTAGCTGCAGATTTGGCTTCTCCTCAAGAAGGGCTCAGCTCCGTAGGTAAGTGAGTAAGATGTTAGCATCATACCAAAGGTCACCCAGTTAATCCTTCAGTGGTGCAGGACAATTAATTCCTACTCCCTTCTTGGGACGGAGGATATTTAGACTTTTAATGTGGTAAATGCAATGTTTCTCTTAATAAATAAATGGGGATAGACTGGAGCTCTGTTTTTCTGATTTTTGCTCTACGTTCAGAAATGTATATACGAGTAGAATCTGTGTTTACATCCACACTGCTTTAAACTTATTTTTTTGTAATTGTATAAAAATTAGGAATAATAATATTATATTACCTTAGAAATTCAGCTGGGTGTGTTAGTCATGAAAACATTTCATGTAGAGTCCCATGTCACACGTGTCACTCCAGTACACAGTTTTTGACACACAACACACTGTTTCTGTGGTCTAGATTTCTTTGCAGTTGGTGCAGTCTTGCTTATAAAATTACTTTCTCTTAGATGGGACACTGTTTTCTTTGACAAATGTTGACCCAGCACTTTGTGCTATACAGCATTAGTATATTTCACAGAGAATTCCTCAGTTAACTGAATTCTGATTGACAGTTGATCTATTCTTTTCCTTTTGTTATTCCCTTATATTATCATAACATTCAGAATTTTTCCTTTTGTCTCTTATAGTTTTGCATATCCTCCCAGTGGACATTTATGCTTTTCTTGATTCTGTCAATTACCACAGAATTGAGAAAAGCATGAACATCCATTTTCATTGTCAAATTCCAAATCTGATAAAACTTCATTCTTATTCGCTTTGAAGTAAATGTATTTTCCACTCGTCATGACCAACACAGTAGGCCACTCTGTTGCTCACAGCTGGCTTGGGCTGCTAAAACCAGACTGCATGATGCATATTTCCAGAACAGAAGGAATTACAGTAGTATCATTCATATTGTGGCATTTTTGCTCTATGCAGGACTGTTGAGCCACAGAGGCCTCGGGCACGCACGCAACATGAGAGTTGCAGATTGTATAAGCACGTTGCTAGGCGACAACTCTGTGAACGTTTGGATAGCGCAACAGGAAGTGTGAATGATGTCACATGTTCCCACTCAGCACGTCACTATGCGACACTCGGTAAACACCCCTCCCCACTAGGCTGTGATGTCACGCAACAGTAGGGTGTCCATTGCTAGCCAATTCGTGGGTAGACACACCTGACAGCAATACCTGATATCTGTTGCTGAGCAGCAATTTGTTTTCTATGTGGTCCGTGCGGAGCCTATATAAGGAGCAGCAAACACTATTTCAGGCAGTATTGAGGATGGAGTATAAGTTAAGCATAGTTGAGAGTGCCAGATGCAAGCGCAGTAAAACCAGGAATGCCAAGTGTGATTTGGAAGACTTTATATGTGTGACGGTGCGTGCAACAGTGACTAGAAGATCTTGTGAGGGTAAATCAGCGATGGAGCTGTATTTAATTGTAATTACGAGAGTGTGTGCAACCAAGCTGTTAATAAATCCAATCATATGAACTAGAACCTGTCATTTCATCATGCGTATCCCCTACACGTGACAGTATTGAGCACTGTTTATCGTTTGCTATATTAGCAGTCATAGAACACTTCTTAGAGTCAGCATCACGTCTCAAAGTCATAGATTCTCCACGCGTTTTCTCTTGATTACGAATTCCTGTCTAGAAGTAACACTGGTCAGAATATGCCTAAAGAGAATCAACTTTCCATTCGATCAGCATGCAAGACAGCACACAGTATCAATCTAATATATTTTGTTCATAAGAATTCCCCAAGGTAGAGATAGGTTTGTGTGGTAATAAGCACACCATTTAGGGAAGTCCAAAACTTTTTCAAAGAATTTAGATGTGTTACAACTTCTGTGAGAAGTTCAAAGTTGGACAACAAATATATGGAATGATAGCCTGCAACTTCCTATTTAATTTCATACCAGAAGGATTTCTTTGCATGAATAACAGCAGTTCAAAATAGGAGCTGAACCTTATCATTGCACCATGCATTCCACTCATGGACTATAACGACATATGACAGAAACCGCTGGCGTGTCATGTACCAACTACGATGTTGAAGGGTTAAGTAAGAGACAGAAGTAGGCCTATGTTTTAAAGTCAGAAGCCAGGAGTATATCTGAAATACCATTGAAGTTATGACACAGAAGCAGTATTTCGCTAATATAAGGTATAATGAGATGATATGCCAATGCAGGCGGTCTCCACCATAGAAATGGCGGACCACGTCATGAAAAGAGGCAATAGTGAGAAAGGGAAAAATATAGTTGTGATGTGAACTTTATAATGATTAAGGATATTAAAAAACCAAATGTGAATCAGCAAAGAAAGTACAGTGTCTCCTCGAAGGCAAACATGTAGAGGTGGACACAATGGCAAGAACCTAAGAATGCACGTTCTGTGTTGTGTGATTTCAAAGACAGAATGGATTGTCATTTTCATATGATGTGATTAAACCTAGTAAGTGTCAGGAATTTAAGGCAAGCACATATACATGAATGATGGGAAACATGTTTTCCTTTATGGAAAAGATCTTCACTTTTCCAAGGGTTACCATCAGATTTTGAGTTGAAACTTCTTACCTTTCAGAATTGTGATTCAGATTGGAAACTGAATATTTACCTGTTGAGAGCCAAAGAAGCAATACAGATGAAATGTTTATTGTTTATTGATATGCCGTCGAGTTACATCATTGATGACTTAGATTCATAATATACCATCATAAATGCAACAGATAGTAGATGCTAGTGACTAATGTTAAGTGGTATGAAACTACCACCATATATGACAGTGAAATATGAAATTATACTTAATGTGCATCTGTCTGTGGTACTAATAGTCAAGTGTCAGACAAAGGGGTGGGCGAATAGAGAATTGATTGGCTGGTTACAAGTTGTCTAACAAACAGGAGTATTGTTTAGAGCTTAAGGAGTGCTTGTGATAGATGCATTTAAAAATTACTTAAACACGGAAGTAATGTGATTTATGCAGTGGTCACACCTGGCCCACATGTCTTTGGTAGATCATCTCTTCAATCAACCCGGCTTGGACTTCTCTCCCATCTTAGCTCCCATTATTGCAGCAGAAGTCAGAAAACTACAACTTAATCCAGTGTAGATTGTGTGAATTTTTTATACTGGTACCACACGGAGAATTTGTCTTTAGTGATGACTACTATTCTGATATTGCAGTGATTTTAACAACAATAGTTATGAAATAGTGCATGGACATAGGTGATAGGCCTCGTGTGTGGAATTATTTCATTTTCACTTCTTATGTATCATCTCAAATGCAACTTATATTAGAATATTAAAATTCACTTTCAATTTTAAATTATTTTTCACATCATTGGTGCACTACATGTTTCAGTCATATGGCCATCATCAGGTGCTTAAAAAATTGCTATTTAAATGTTTTTAATGTTTGCCTTGACTCTCGCAGATGGTTTGTTCTGTGCGTGGTTTATGTATCCTGTCTTGTGCTGATGCTGGTGTCTGGAGATAGGGACTAGCTCTGTTGATTTGGACCAACTGAATAGGTTCCACCTGAAGATGGAAACAGAATCAAGTTTTGGAAATCTTATGTTTTGAATAAAATCACAATAATTGTATTAATATACCATTGTCACCAAGTTATAGATCTTACAATATCTGTATGTTGGTCCCCATTAATGGATTTAATGAAGAAACCACCACAAAATTGAGTGAAGCTTTGAATTTTGTTTTCCTCTGCAATAATTTTTCCCCTCCTCGATTTCTGTTTTTCACATGTAGTCAAATCCCCTAAAAAATCTGCAGAGAAATTAAATTTTGTGCAGTAAAAACTTTCCATTTGTACTCATACTTTTTATTTGTTATAACTCTGTTGTCTGGTCAGTAGTTTTACAGTGAAATCCCAATTTAGTGAAATACTGAATATAATGAATACATTTTCTGGTCCCAGCCGAAGCATATATATATATATATAGTTTTATCTTGCTTTATTATGGACTTGATTTAGTAAATAATTCTCATTTAGTGCAGGAAAATTTCGGCCTTTCAAAAGTCCGCCTTGATTCGGTGTAGTTTTGGTGAAAACAACAATCAGTATTGACACATTCTTTCTGTTTGAAATCATCCCACAACCATAATCCTTAATGAGTGATGTTACATAGTGAACATGCAATGAAGTAACGTTGCTTATGACATCATAGTTGTTTTGAGTGACTGCTGAGCTTATTTCATTGTTTATTTGATGTTGTTAATAATTTTGGACTTAAATATCATGTTATTGATAATGTAATTGTATCTGTATTGAAACAGTTTCTTTAACCGTATTTGTCTAAACAAATTGCTTCCTCATAATTAGCCTGCAGTCAGTTTTATAAGATGAGCAGTTTCTTGATGTAATTTCGAATCATCCCAAATTAGTGAAAACCTTGATTTATTGTAAGAAAACCAAGTCTCTCAGAGATTCATTAAGTAGGGATTTCACTAGCAGACTGATTTAAATTTAAGTGATAGGTGTTTCTGATTTTAAAAAGAATTAGAATTTTTGGTATTCTTGGTATATGTTCTCACCTTTTCCATGCAAGTGCAATAAATAAAAGTATCACTTTGTTGTTCAGTAAATAAATGTGAAGAAATTTATAACTTTCACCAATATATAATAGAAAAATAAATAACATGGCATGTTTAAAGAAATAAACTTGTTTTTCTATATTTTTCACTTTAATACTTTCTGCAGTATTGCAACTTTGAGAACATTGAATGTCAACTTAACATCCATAAGCAGGTTACACAATTATCATGAGATTTAAGATTATCATGGAAGGACCAGAGACTGTGAAGATCACCATCTCCTTGAATGTGATACTGTGTAGTCTGGTAGATAGTTATAAATCTGCTGTCTATATTCAGGATTAAAGAGTTCTTCTAACCTGAAGATGGGGACAGCAGTTCCTTCCAAAATGCTGGCAACTAGTGGGTTGTACAGTGTGGCATCCCGGTAGATAGCAGCCTTCAACAAAGTTATTACTAACATGAAGTTGTATATAAAACTTAACAAACCAGTATTTTACAAAGATTTTTATTTTAGTGTTGTGTTTGTTGGTGATCTCTGACTTGAAGCTGAGAAAAAAAGGAGTTATTCTAATGTTAACTTTGCTAGGAACATAATACATTTCTCAGTTTTGTATTATCTTGCATGTAATGTGATAATATAAATAGTTCAGTACATAATTGTCCCAAGTATAATATCCAAATGAGGATGGTATTCTCTTTTCTTTCCCCTAAAGAAGCTGCAATGGAGGTTGTCTTCAGCAATGGTGAAACTGCACAATCGAATGGCGCAGACAATCAGTCAAGTCTTGCAGGCACTGATATTGCTGCAGCTGTGGCAGATGTCACATCTGCTACTGAAACTTTGGCTGAATCCATCGTTGACTCCATTCTGCAGCCAGCTATGAGTCTGACTGGTACTTCTGCTATCGCACCACCATCTTCTGGTCCTGGTGAGGCAGATGATCAAATTCAGCAACAGAGGAATGAAGACCAAGAGATGGAACATGTGCCTGTAGAGGTTCGAGCTGGCATTGGTGAAACCCCAGACTTCTCAGAGCTTACTACTGGTCTCCTGAGTTCTCTATCAGAAATTCTCCCATCTGTCACAGCAGCACAGAGAGCACTGAGTGGTGTAAGTCAGGGGACTGAGTCTGAATCTTACCCTGAGGCATCTTATGAGTCTTCCTATCCAAACAGTGCAAGCAGCCTGGACTCAGCTCAGCTAGGCTCAATGCTTGCTCAGAGTTGCAACACTGTAACACCAGCTCCTACATCTTCATATAACAGGGACGATGGAGAAGATGGTGATGAAGCAAGGAGCCCCCCTCAGGGTGCAGTATCAGCTGTTGGGGAACATGGAGAAGGGGATTATGACTCTGATAACTCTAATTTGGACCCTGCATGTGGTCCACCTCCACCCCTGATTCCACTTGAGGAGGTTGTGAATATGGATGTAACTGAGGCTGCAGATGAAGAGGAAGAAGATGATGAAGAAGAAGAGGATGAAGATGTGCCAGTTAGCTATCCCCATCGGAGTGCCTCTCAGACACTTCTTGAAAGCATTCGTAGGACAGGACGTGCCCCACGAAATCTTCAAGAAGCTGTGGACATGGTTGCTTTTGAATCCACTGGCAGGCTAATTAATGAAATGGAGGATGCCTCGGATATACCAGGATTGGGAATGGTGAGAGAGATGGAAGATGTGCAGGCTCCAATCTCTAATGGAGTCCAACATCCGGTGAATGGATCAGAGTCGTTGGACCTTGAAGCAGCTGCATCCTGGCTGAGATCCCAGGTTGAAGCACGTGTGTCCCAGCACCAGAGGGAAGGTGAAGTACAAGAGCAGTCTTCCCATCTCCCGTCCCACTCTGAGGAAAGTCAACCCCAAGGCGACTCTGTAAACCATAGATCTGCATCTACATTTGAGAACAGGTAAACATTGTTCCCTTTGTTAAATTGAAGAATATTTATTACATTTTAAGTGTTTTCATTATGTTACTAAATTTCACGGTTTTGACTATTTTTTTTTTCAAAAATTTTCATGCTAGTCATTTTATTTTTAGTGTGAACACTGAAGCTAGTGAAACGCCTCCAGTACCTGGGAGCAGTGGTGGGGAATCAGTCGTTGTCAACAGTGGACTGAGCCCAGAAATTCCAGAGGGTGTTGATCCTTCATTCCTTGCTGCTCTTCCAGATGAAATGCGAGAGGAAGTGATCGCAGAGCAGCTGAGGTACAGTTGAATCTCCAGCTAAGGCACTGTAGTATGTCTTCCCACATACACTGGCTCGCATTTGACACTGCTACTTTTCTGGAGTTATGGAGGCAGTGTCAGTCATTTTTCCATGACCTAAATATTTAAAAAGAAACCAGCGATTGGGCCCAACTGAGTAGGTTTTACCTGAAGATGGAGACAGAATCAAGTCTTTCAAATCTTGTGTTTTAGAAGAAAAAAAAACAGGTAGATGGATAATGTCCAGTAATATAAGTTTTGCATATTTTTGTCCTTTAATTACACCTCTGGCAATCCTAGCGAGCCATAAATGGGCACAGTGTTATTACTGTGCAGTTTTTTGCAGGAAACAAATCAAAAATGTCGTTTTTGTATGGTGGTATGTTTTCTGGTTCTGAAGACTCCTAGCACCCATTGATACCATGTCACAGCTAGGTGGCAGCTGTTTATTAACTTGCAAGGCTATAAATTTATTTTGGTAATGACATTTGTATTTTTTAATAAAAGTGAATTGTACTTCACTTTAGAAATGATGCTCATGTTAATGATTTTTAGGTGCAGTGATGGTGAAGCTCTTTGATCTGTAACCGGATGAATCTTTCTTCTTCTTTCAGGCTTCAGCGTTTGAGGCAGAGAGCACAGCAGCATTCAACAGAAACTGTCCCACCCAGTGTGACAGAAGTGAACCCTGAATTCTTGGCTGCACTGCCACCAGCAATCCAGGAAGAAGTGCTGGCCCAGCAGCGACTAGAACAGCAACGGCAGGCTGCTGCTGCTGCAAATCCAAATGATCCTGTAGATGCAGCGGCATTTTTCCAGAATCTTCAGCCTTCATTGAGACAGGCAGTATGTAAACAGGCATTGAAGTAACTAAATTGATTTTCTAAAAAAAATTGTTCATCATGTACCATTAGTAGGTTATTACCTTCAGAGTACTCTTTTTTTTTTCTGACATAGATCTTAACTTTTGTTGTAAAGGAAATTTAATTTCCTTGTACTTACCCATAGTCAGGGAATGTTTGTATATAAAGGCTTGGTTCTGGAGTTCATTAACCTTTTCATTGCCACCACTGCTGCAATAGCATTGTGTCAAGAACACCCACTTGCCAAGTGCCACTATAGTATTGATGCATGTGCTCCCTTATCACATAATTTCAGGGTCGGGTGGATGACAGGTATATAAAAACCTTCAGAAAAAACATGAAAAATGCAGACGAAATTTAGCAATGGGCTGGTCTATAATTGGAAAAGTAACAGATTTTAAAGGATTGAATAAGTCCAAATTATCGAGAGTGTCCAGTAGAGGAGGAAGTAGAAAACATGACTGTGGCATGCATAGTACTGGGTTTAATTAGAGTGGAGCGTAATTGGTGAAGTGAGATGGAAGGAAAAGGAATGTAGTGATTTTACATAGGTAAGTCAATAAGTACTGTCTTCGCTTTCTTGGAAACCGGGATCAAGGGTTCGAATCCCACTGAGGGCATGGATGTTTAGTTTGTGTTTGTGTACAGATAGAGGTCTTGAGATGAGCTGATCACCCGCCCAAGGAGTCCTACCGAATGTATAAGATCTAGAAAAACTGAAGTGAACGGAGAAGTTCATGGAGGTAGGCCAAGGCCCACTGGGGCTATAGTGCCAAGGCAAAAAAAAAAGGCCAATAAGTAAGTTACAAATGGATATAGAACTTAAACAAATAAGAGTACTGATTTGAAAAATGCTTTTATTTCTCAACATAATCTCCCTGTACATTGAGGCACTTGTCCCATCGCTTCACAAGCCCTTGAAAACCAGCAGCATAAAATTCTTTGGGCTGCTGTCAGAACCAGGCGTGTTCACACAGCATGGCCTACCTCATAATGCATGACAGGTTAGATTTTTACAAAGTGTGCACAGTGGGTGCCGCGCATGCTGACCCCACAGCACAAAATGCAAAGAATGGGTCTGGCATTACAGCATCTCAGTTGCTACCAATGGTCGAAGGAAGAATGTGAAAGAGTCACCGTTTGAAGAACGGTAAAGTTTGGTGGCTGCTTGGTTTAAGCAAGCTAGAGACAGCAGTGCACAAATCAGTGGCACGCTTTGAAGAAAAAAGGCTCCACTCATTGCCACAGGGTTGGGCACAGATGATTTGCAAGCTACTAATGACCGACTCGATGGCTGCAAGGAGTGGCACTGTTGTTTACAAATTTGTTTAGTGAGAATGCAAAACTGAAGACCCGTCAACAGTGGCAGAATGGCGTAAAGAACAGTTACACTTAAAATGCTATTGGGACTGGAATGTTGTTCAGGCTTCCATGTAACAAGACACTGAATTTGAATAGGGGTCCTTGCAATAATGGAAAGAATTCCTAGGAGAGGATAAAGGTTCCCTTAGCCTGCAATGCTGATGGGATTGACAAACTCCCACCCGTAGTTATTGGGAAGATTGAAAACACCTATTGCTTTAAAAATGTTGGTGTTGCATACAAAATTTATTCCCAACAGAAAAAGCAATGGGTTCCAAAAACAGAAAGATTGTACTTTTTGTTGACCAGTGTGCTGCTTAATCTTAAGACACAAGTCACTTAACCTTTAAGAGCCGAGCGACACCATATGGCGTCATGAAAATAAAGTCAAGGTGACGAATGACGCCATATGGCGTCGCGCAGTCCACGTGTGCGGCCGGCTTTTTAAAATCTAATTTTAAGTTATAAATTCTTTTTCTACTTACATGATTTTTGGTCACCAGCTTTATAAGTTCTCTCTCTTCCCACCTGCGTCGTCTAACGGACTGTTGGCTTCGTGTGGAAATCTTGGAAACATCCGGAAATCCAGTGTCCGACGTCGCACTTCACGCACTTTGTCCGGACGGTTCTTCGTTTCCCACGCGAAAAGCACACACGACACCTCAATTGCGAAGTAGAGGAAGTCTGCCAGTGATGTGGTTTGGCCTCCTATAATCGAGATATCTCCGATAAAATGGCAGGGGTTCGACCCCTGGGCCGTTGATGGTGAGGTGGACCCCTTCCAGCATGTTCCGCACAAGAGCGAGACGAAATTCTCTTTGTGACAACAGGATGTAACTGTTCAGATCCAGGAGATGGAAAAATAGTTTATTTGTCCATTTCCAGGTTCGACGACAGATGCTATAACTGTTTGCCACAGTTTGCCCACAGCTCCACCTGAATAATTATTCACACTCCTCTTGCCACGCTGGTGTGGTGGTCCCCAGGTTGCCGACGAAGATGATGGTTCTTCATCGACTTCAATTTCTGATTCACTTTCTTCCTCGCAACTCTCAGAGTCATCGGTACAACAGGCTGAATCGGTGTCATTTATAAGCTGATTCTCAATTTCAGCGTCTTCCAAATACGAGGCCATGGTGGACAGCTAAACACAACGCTAGCCTTGAACGTTCTGACACTGCTCGGCTATATTTCAAAACAGACTACTTATTGTTTGGCTATACAAGATAAAACAGTCAGTGTTTCTGCGAACGAGTATACATCGCCCACACTCGTTCATACTGAAAGGAACCTACGAACTGGAGAATGATGAACGAAGCGTAAACATCCGACCTTGTAGCAACACAAGCCATAGTTAGAGCATGATGTCACCAGCAGGCATTCAGACTGCAGAAATGTTTTGTGCAGGAACTATGCATTTTTGTGCACAGACGTTCGAAATTGAGGGGAAAAATTTTTGTTGGCATCAGTGTAAAAATTTTTAGAGATTTTAAAATCGGTAAATTACAATAAGTGATTCTATATTCTTTCTAGATAAAAGCAACGTTTATTTCGTTCGTTTATCACAAAAATTGTAGAAATCACAGCATTTTGAGTAACGTGATTACTTTTTTTATTACTCTACAGTGGCGGGCATTTAAATTAACTCCGTCCCGCTACCACTAACGGAATTTAAATGGCCGTCTCTTAAAGGTTAAACAGTGTGAAAGCTGTGTTAATCCCACAGACTACACAAGCATTGTTAAACTGCTTTACCATGGAATAATCTGGTCATGAAAATATTACTGCAGGCAATGTATATGAAAACTATTTTTATGATTGATCAGAAGGTGCTTCCTTGATGCAACATTCATGAAAGTAAATGTTTGGGATGCATGACATTTCTTTGCAAAATGATGGTACTGGTGTCACACATACAGTAATAGTGAAAGATGGATTCAGTTTAAATCAAACCAATGATGGTGAAGATGGCAACATAACTTAGCATAGCCAAACATGACTGGGTTCAGCTGAAAGTAGGAGTACCATTTCAAGAATATCCTGTGGTATTGAAGTTGTAATGTGTGAAATGCATATCGTAGAACAAATAATGAATGAAAAGTTTACATCTGACGTGTCTGTGGAAGAAGGGGAGGGGGAAGATGGTGGATGAAAAGCGAACCTCCAACAACATTTTTGTCAGCATCTTTGACTTTGAAGAAATACCCCATGAAGTTTGGTGCTGATAAAATGATGGCTGCCCTCGGTAGTATTGAGAACCATGTGTACAGGGTTCACCAGAAAACAGAATCAGCAACTTAAATGGGCATGTGGAAGAAGTGAATTAGTTTAAATTTTTTTCTGAAATAACTTGAACTAGATTACATTTTTTGTGTAAAACAGTATTAACTTAGTGTATTCAATTTTGGTAGCTAGATAAATTTTGGCCATTATGTAGTGGAGAGTATTGCGTTTTGATGTTAGTATTGATCTGTTGTATTTCTTTGCTGCAAAAAGCATTCAGGACATAAGTTTGTCATTGAGATGAAGGCGAGCCAACATCGTAGTGTGAGAATAACAATATTGTAATATCTGATAATGACAAAAGATGACTGAGGTAATAGTCACCAGTAACATTCATGGCAAGAAAATGGGATATAATTAGGACAAGGGGTTTCAGTAGTTTTACAGTTATTTGACTTATGAATTTTTGTCCATGTATTTTATTGTAAGATTGCCAGATAAATTTCAGGCAGATCAGTATGTGTATCTCATTTTGTAGTGGCTAGAATTAAAACTGTACTTGGCTTTTATTACTATAATCTCATTTTCCTTTGGTAGATCTTGACAGATATGGAGGACTCGCAGATATCTGTTCTTCCACCTGATCTAGCACAAGAGGCACAGAACCTGCGCCGTGAGTGGGAAGCCCGTAACCGACAGCTGATGCAGGAACGCCTGTTTGGTCATGTCAGCCAAAGTAGCAGTGCTCTGTCTTCGATACTTCGTAGTTCCGGCAGTGGTATGCTGTTGTATAAATATGATGGTAGAATACAGCAACTGAATCTTTTCGTGATGTTCTTTGTGATGAATTTAAGGTTTGAAGATCTTATGGCAGAGAATTATGTTCTTTGGGGTGTGGTGCCATGTAGTCTTCAAGGACGGAGGCTGCACATTCCTCCTACACATTAGCGCCTGTTTGGAAAACTGTGTGATATCATATCCCAGAAGAGTGTAATCCTATAATACTGAAGTTTGTTTAGAGAAGAATTTAGATCTTTGGAAGTTGGTTATAGAAGAATTTAGATATTTGGAAGAAAGGAGACTGCACTATCTGATGATCCATGATTGTAAATATTACCAGAATTGATGTGAAGATGAGATTTAACTTAGTCATTTACATAGGTCGGATAAAAAGTAGCGGCAACACCTTTATAGTTCTGAAATTACTTTATTACCTCAGGTAAACACACTTACATTCCTTCAGTATAATTACCCCCCATGTGTTCCACCTTCTGCCAAATTTGTGGAAGGCATCATACACCATTGGCGCGTCCACTTCTGTTAATATCCAGCAGTGACCGCCCTACAGCACGACTAATCTCTCTTGTGTTATAACATGTCCCTCTCGGTGGTTCTTTCATTTTGGCAAAGAGATCATAATTGCACGGACTCAAATCAGGCGAGTATGGCAGATGTTGCAGTATCTCCCGTCGCCAGCTGCAAAGGAGATCCTTGACAGTGTCAGCAGTATGAGCCCTTGCATTGTCATGAAGGATGATGGGGTTTGTTGCCAATAAGCATTGTCACTTTCTCCTGAGTGCTGGATGAAGATGATTACGCAGGAAATTGCAGTAGTAGGCAGTGTTTACTGTCTGTCATTGAGGTACAGTGTGGTGCAGTATCACTCCATCAATGTCATATGCCACAGTGAACATCACCTTCACATTACTCTGTGTAGGGTGCACATTCTTTGGATGAGGAGAGCCAGGATGCTTCCATTCATTTGATTGTCGCTTCAAGTGCGGTTCGTATGAGCGAGCCCGAGTTTCGTCCAGAGTGACGATCCTTCCAAGGAAGTCATAACCTTTCCTCTGGTACCGGTCCAACAAGTCCTCTGCAATGTCATAACGTTGCCATTGTTGCACCTCAGACATTGTATGGGCTACTGAACGTGCTGCAGTTTTTTGGTATCCAAGAATATCTTGCAGAATGTGGAGCACGGTCTTGTGACATACGCCTACCTCAGCCACTAACTCCCGCTCACCCCATCAACAGTCGACATCCAGCAAAGAAGCAACAAGGTGAATTGTGTGGTTAACATGGGTTCGTCCTGAACAGCGGCTGTCCTGAATGGCATCCCTCCCTTCACAGAACAATTTCACCCATCATGCCACTTTGCAATATGGCAAAGCAGCATCACCACATGCTTCTCGTAGTCGCTGATAACAGTTTTGTGCACTACAACCTTGTGCAACTTCAATTTTTTTCCAGGAGCATTCTTGTTTCGTAAACATGTTGTTAGGGTGCTTGAACTGGGCTCCTGCACTTCAAGACGATGCACAATGCAACTCAATGAAACACAACCAGAGCCACTCACTGCACTACTTCAACTGAACTTCTGCTATCAGCTACAGATGGTGCTAGTGCCACCTCATGCACATCTTTCATGTTACAGCAGTGTTGCCACTACTTTTTATCCAACCCTTTTATATCTGTGAATGTGAAACTTTGTCTCATGACAGTACTCTCTAAAGCTGTGTACAACCTTGAATTGCAGGTCGTGTTGGGACAACAAGGTATGCAATTCACACTGTGCCCCAGCGAGCCCAGTGGGGAGCATGGAACTCACGTCAGGAGACCCACCCAAGCCTAAGTGCGCTCTCGTCAGGCAGTTTGAGGTAAAGGAAGATGATGATGGCGTAATTTTTCTGTTTCTAACATTAGTCTCTGCTATGAAAAATCTATGGTGTTTGTAAAATGCACTGAAGTGGGAGGATGCTTAGTACTATCATGAAAGTAATTGGAAATGATTTGCTTAAGCAAAAATGTGGGTTTTAAGAACTTGAGAATTTGAAATCTTGTGATGGGTTCCTTTAAGTTTTAACTGCTGAAGAAAGGCACTAGTTTTCATGTCTCTGTGTCTTTGCAATTGAAACTGCTACTATAGCTGAAAGAATTTTTAGCCTACTGAGTCCTGGTGTGTCCATGCATGCATTTTTAAAGTTGTGTGAAGCACAGGCAATGAAGTTTCAGATTTTTTGGAAGAGAGCAAATTTGAACATTGAATTGAGGAAAATCCTAACCTGCTGCATGTGGAACTATTAGCTGAACCTAGTTGGTATACATATCCTTTTAAGTGACACTCCTGCCACAAATTTTAATCGGTTCCCCTTTAATTACACTAGTTCTACAGTTTAATTTAGTGAAGGTCCTAGAATAAGACACTTTGCATGATTTTCTCCAGTTACAGTCTTCCAGTATTGCAGGTGTTTTCTTCATCAGAGATGCCACAGGAAGGTTCAGGGGTATCAGACCTCTGCTATGCCAATAAATCAAGTCCAATACCTTCAGCACTTGTGTGGCCTTGACACTGATGTTATTTGTAATCTTTTATGTTCTGCCAGTGTCACATTGCATGGAGGTGGTCCCAGACTAGTTGCCAGAAAATCAGGAAGGAGACACATGTTCTTTGTGCAGTTTGAATACTTGACAGAGTGGAAATGTACTCATTACTACAATTTGTATTTATATTCTTCATTGACCTTGATGTAGTGACCTCATGTGCAGAATGTATCATTATATGCCCTATTTTGCACCATGGTTTCTGGCTGTCAAAATAAGTGAAGCAGTTCATAGCTGTATCATGTTTTTTCTCACCCAAGCAACAGACATCCTCTCATAGTCATGGGATAATTAAATCTATAAGATTATGCTGCTGGCGAGACACTATTCGTTGTATGAATCTTTATATGAATTATTTGTCAGAATGATACTCTTATTTAACTCATTGTGGACCGGCGACTTAAATATTTAAATCACCCTGGGGACCGGCATTATTAAACCTTCTATCCTAACATGTGCACTGTTCAATTTAAAAATTAATATAAAATCTCCTAATTAATTTTAGGAACTAAAATTTTTGGAGGACACTTACCAATGCTCCTAGAAGTGCTTGAGAGCATGATATTACTGGAAACATTCCTCTTTGTGAAGTGGCATTACACAGAACTTGCAAGGTAGACGTTCCTTTTTTTGTGAACTGTGCAAACACGGCATTGCCTAGAAGGATGCTTCCCCTTGGAATGTTCACTCTTCACAATTTTCACGAGGGTATGTTTCCGCATATCAACCAAGAGTCGCCCTGGGGGGTCCACATGAAGCCTGCATGGGGTGGGAGTTGATGGGCCCGGTTGCACTAAGTCTGTGTCTGACTCTGGTTCTGCCGTCACCATCTGGTCTGTAGCCCAGGCCTTTGCCACATTCATTAGAAATGCTTTGTATTTCAATTTTGAGTCAGGGTTTAGATTTTTATGATTCTTTTTTAGATTTTTTGCTGTCCCCACAATGGTCATACCTGCATTTTCATCGGAGCTACTGTCACTTTTACTGTCTGTGGCCACAAATCTTTGTTGTCCCCTGTCACTGCCACTGTCTAAGTCACCATCACTACGCATCTCACAAGGCACATAAGCTAGCTCATCGGAGAATTTGTCCTTGATCCATAATCTACCACTAGCTACTGGCTGATACAACTTGAAGACAGGCAAAGCATTTTCCTGTAGAGTGGGTTAAGGAAACAGCGAGGTCATGTTACTGAATACTAAGCAAACATTCTTGGAGTTTTATTGCTCAGTACCCTTGCAGCTGTGCGGCAAGAGAGCAAGGTATAGTGTGTTGCAACCTAACGTGTCCTGAAATCATGATATCATGCAACTGGCCAGTCACGTTTAAAAGCGAAAAGCATGATATCATGCAACCGGTCTTTAATGTGTTAAGTAACATTATTTCATCGAAGTCTGTGTAAATTGTGTTCTGCATATGCAAATGTCATTTAATATTATTTTCTTAACCAAGCTGTTCCTTTAATTACACCCCTTGTTTAATTTTATAAACTCAATACGCGAGGTATTTCAATAAGTAACAAAAATTTACGTAAAATGTTTGGTTGGTTTCCAATGGCTGCATTTGGGATCATTTACCCCATTTGCTTCTTGCTTCCCAATAGAGAGCATTCAAGTGCTTGCTTTGTTGCATCTCCTTCTTAAGATTAGGGCATTGAAGGAGGTGTTCTTTTCCCATAGATGATCCTGGCAAGTTGCACATTGTACATCTTCTGTGTTATGTATTCCTATCTTACAATGATGTGCACGGCATTCATGCCCTGTATTCAGTCGAAAATTTGCAACAGCTTTTCTGGGTTTCTTGCTGTTAATTTCCCAAAGTTTTCCTATTTCTGACCATTTCTTATAATTCACATAAAATTTGCTACTGGAAATTTGGGGAGTCAAGTAAAGTATGGTATGATTTCCTGGTCAAGATTTAGGATTCCTGATTCCCAGGATGCCATATTATGAAACAATTAGCCCTTCTATAAAATGCTATTCTTTTCTAGGCTACGGGGCCGACAGCTCCTGGATTATGAAGCAATTTCATGTCTCTTAGTGCTGCTGTTTGTAGACGAACCCAAGCTCAACACAGGGCGACTTCACCGAGTATTACGGAATTTGTGTTACCATGCAGCAACAAGGGAGTGGGTCATCAAGGTATGTAACCATTATATAAATTCTTTCATTATTAATTACTTATGGAGTAAACTATGTTTAACATACATCTGACTAGGCTTGGCTTGACTTTTTCACAAGATACAGTTCCTTGTGTCTCGATTGAGTTTCTCATTGGAGTTATTCACTCAGTCTTGCCTTGAGCTTTGGTTCTGCAATAAAATGAAATTAATATATGTGCTATGGGGAGCTTGTAGAAGATCCAAAAGAAAATATGTGCCATTGGTTGAAGTATAAGATATATTTAGACAGTGTGCTTTGACAACAACTGGTATTTGATTCCCAGCAGGGGTAGGAATATTTTCTCAATTTCATTGTGCCCAAACTGTCTATTGCACCCAGTCTCCTGTCAGGTTTATACCTTAGGTTGTTACCACTGGGTAAGTGAAGATTGTTATATGTGGAGGTATACTGGTACTCCCCATACAAAATCATGCTTAATTAAGCAAACGGATGTTTTATTACATGTGTAATTAAGCTCTGGGGCAGTTTTATGTACTTCAGTCATTTCAAATGAAGTATGCAGCCTTCATTTATTACCCCGTACCCTCCCTCCCACATGTATTTTAGTGTTCATTGGGGTGTTCCCTTTGAAATTCTCTAATTGAGTTTATTTTGCTGCTCTTTCAGTGGCTTTATTGATAGGTTCCATCAACCACTTTTTATTTTTTCCCTCAGTATATTTTTTTTGTTGTTTCTATGTAGTTGTATTTGCTCTAGTACTCACACCATTCTTTGTTACAGATTGATGCACAGTACCAAGTAACCTTACTCTTCCCACAGTCCCTTGAGTGGGAACTGTACTAAGTACAGTACCGTAAACCTTCAGCTTTCATACCACAAAAATCTTGTCAGTAGTAGAATCATTTATTTTCATCTTATGCATATATTACTATGTTGCAGGATGTAATGTATCAACATTTTGGAGGAACCTCCTGCTTCCATTTTCAAGAAAAAAAACTACTTCTAAGAACCTCAAATTTCAAATAGCATACATACATTTGAGGACTTATATGTTATTGTGTATCTTGTACAGTCACAGATATGTGAATAGAATAGGGTCTTCCTGGTTCTTCCACTACTTGTTCATAATTTCTCATCACGTCAATTTGTAACCCAATGAAAAATAGAAAAGATGTGGGAGAGAACATCTCACTGGTTAAATTGGTGCAAATGCTTTCATTGCATTGCCATAACAGATTGGGGGCAATATTATATTTAAGCATCCTGTTGCACTCCATACGATAAATGATATAACCTCCGTCTCAAGTGCAAACAATATATTCTTGTGTCTTTGATCTTGCTCCCTACACTACATGTTTCGGCCTCAGACGGCCATCATCAGGTGTATAACACTCACGTCGCTGTCACACTGCACCCAGTTCAAAATTTAACATCTAAAACACTCTCCCTGTCATTATCAACTTCTACTTCGTTGATAGCTGTCCACCCGTAGATTACTTCACACACGTTAATTTTGAGTTTATTGTAATAGCACCATAATAAAATCTTTAGTTCTAATTTTAAACTTTTAAATTCTTGTCCAAATTTTAAAATTTTAAAATTGTTAGGGTTATTCGCCCTGTGTTTGAAGTGCTGCAGCGGCTAGTTCTTGTTTCCACACTGTATAGGTGTTATCCTGTGTGGTCTTTCTGTGTGCAAGCGGGGCAAGCGGTAGCATAGTTGGTTGAGGCACTGTGCTACAGGCTGGAAGGTTGTGGGTTTGTTTCCTGATGAGGTTATTGTATTTTTCAGTTAACCTAATTCTTCCAGCTGCACTATTGCCTTGGAGTTGACTCAGCCTGTAACAGAAATGAGCATCAGGAATCTTCCTTGGGTAAAGGGTGGCCAGGCCTCCATATCAGACTTAGAGTTTTTTTAATGAAGAATTCTACCAAAGAAAGTATGCTCCATAGTGAACTGGACTACTATATTTTCTTTGTAAGAATGATCATGTGCAACATTGCAGTGGAAGGATTTTTTTAATTAGTAAAACTACTTGGTATATCTTGTGGACTCTTTGTTGCCATTGTGCCATTCATATGAATATGTGATGCTAAATTAACATACATTTTATGTGTTTAATGTATATCCTTGTTGTAGGCCTTGCTGTCTATCATGGAGAAATGCAATGATTGTAGAACATCTGAAAACTTGATTCTGCCAAAGCCGAGGCGGATGTCAACGCGATCACAGCCTCATCCTGAAACAGCTGTGCGGAATACCCAACCCTCATGGCTAAACATAAGCCTCGATGCTGCACTTGGCTGCAGAGCCAGTGTGTTCACTATTGTGAAGCAGCCTGGGAAGCGTGGCAAAAGCCAAGATGCAGCAAGTGTTACAATTCACCCCCAGGCAGCTCCTGTTGTGTTCAGGTATGCCATTTATTTCTCACTTTTTCCAATCTATTTCATATGGAAATACTGTAACAAGTTACTTCTTCATTGTTGTAAGTAATGAAAATTGTCAAAATAATAATTACTTTTTGATGTTCATATGTTCAATTTTCAGGCATACCCTTGAAGTTCTGATCTCTTTAGCAAAAAGCTTTCCGGGCTACTTCTTGCCTCTAAAAAGTAAGGATGAGTGCAAATACAAAGATTCTTCACCTCCAAGAGATGCAAGGTTAAAATTATCTCCTGGATCATTAGGTAGTGGGGGATCTAGAGCTAGTCGTACAGATGGGACCAGTTTTTGGGACATATTGCTCAGATTGGACTCAGTTACTAGTACAAAGAAAGGGAAGAGTGTGGCTCGTGCCCATAGTGCTTCAGCTCTATCGTCAGAATCAGAAGGACATGCACCAACCTTTGAGACGTCAGCATTTGGTCAGCTGTTGACGATGCTAGCATCTCCTGTTGTGAAACGCAGCTGCCTTTTGACAGACAAACTACTTAGGTTGCTTTCCCTTATCTCTGTTGGACTTCCTGAAGTTAACCCATATGTTCGAAAACGTGATGGAAGTAACACAAAGAAACCTGAGGAGAAGAATGAAAGTGTACCAGTGTCTGAACAGCACCTGAAACTTGCCATAGATGTCCTCACTTCAAAGAGCTGTTCAGAAGAGGGTCTGGAAGATGCAACAGCTCTACTCCTCAACATGGCCAATTGTCCTGACCCTACAAGGAACATGGTAAATATAAATTCTATTGAAGTTGATGTTATTTTTTAGAAGAGCATGTAGGCTTGTGGGCTCTGCATGTATCATATCTGAACAGACTGTTTTGTTTACTCCACCTTTATTTAAAAATAGAAGTCTCTTTAACAAAAGATATTTGTTGTCCTTCAGTGTAATGGCCATTCTGTGACTACTGCTTCCCATTGCTTGGTAAGTCTTGCACACCTGTGAACATGCCCTCATTGTTTATACCTCAGATAACTTAGAATTACTTTAGTAAACACTGGAAAAATATGAAAGTCACAGATTCATATTAGCGCTGTAAGAGGGGTGGAGAAGCTCTTACCGCCTATCTTTCTCGTAATATCGGCTATGTCACATCTTGCCGTATGAAGTTTGAATTGCGATGTACAAGTGTTGATCAAAGTTGTATCTGACAGTTACATTAATTTTACCGCCCAGTTACACTGCAACAATATGACAAAAAGAGAAGCAAGTATACCACTGATTCTACTGGGAAACCTCATTTTCACCTGAACTCAAAACTAGAAATATTTGTTATCCTTCTGCCTAGTTGTGCATATAGTGCATTACCTACATATCCTTTTTGAGGTATCTTTTCTGTAAATATTACCTGAGGAATGTATTCATTCCACTGGACAAACACATGAAATTATGAGCTACACTGAAAGTTTATGAAAATCTTTATTATTTGTACTTTCCTTAAATTCATGTTAATAAATTTTTAAATTTATTTTATTTTAAAAATGTTGTCATTTCTACTGCATGTGTGAGGTAAGGGTTAAAGAAAGTGGAAATATGTCACCTAAATGTGTATTAGTAGTAGTGATGGGGAAAGATGATAGGACTTAACTGATTTCACAAAATTTTTCATTTATTTACAGCTTCGTATATGTGCACATATCACATCCTGCGTGATTTCTTATTTTGTTCCGTGAAATATTTTTGAAAATTGTTGATTCTGATAATTAAAAAACAAATTTTATACACTTTAGACTAGCATATATCAGTAAAGTCAGTGTTATTACCAATTTTTTCATACTTTAGCTTCACAAATTATGTTTTATATTTGGTATGGTAAATGAATAATTGCATGCTTTCCCAGCCGTCATATAATTTGGGAAAAAGAAAGAATTCACAGAACTAGTTTGTACACACAATTGTAGTTTAAATATCGTAAGTTAAAATGATACCTGTGAAGACTGAAAGTTACAACTTGACAGTAGCAAACACCATCATGTCAAATTTTCAGTGGTTGGCAATTCTGTTACAAAGATAAGAGTATTAGCTTGAAGAGAAGTCATGTATTCTTAATTTGCTGACAGATCTTGCATCTTTTGCTGGATGGAGCAATGGAACTTGCAAACATGGTGAATGACCACATTGCAGCACTTTTGCACGAACTGAAATCAATGAATAGATATCTGAAGAAAGATGAAGGTGAAGAGATACACACCATTGACCGTCCTCCTAAGGGAGTAGTACATGATAGGTAAGCACGATCTTTTATTCATTGGTATATGGTAAACTTTACCTGTAATTTGTCATGTTGCATTTCACCCTTGTTTGTGGTTCCAGGTTTACCAAGGACAATGTGATAGTGACTGCACCATCCAAAGTTAAATCAGGTTGTGACCTTCAGTTGCCATCCATGTCTATTCTCACAAGCAAGACATCCAGTCAGGCATTCTTTTTAAGAATTCTGAAAGTAATTGTTCAGATTCGAGAATCAGTACGACTTGCACACAGAAGAAACAGGGAGAGTAGTGGTGAGTTTTCCCTTTTTGGTTTTACACTTATACCTCATGGTTTGTGACAGATTGAAATAGTGATAGACTTTGTCATCAGAGTCCATTGGAAGTGAATTGTTTTGACACTTTTAATACTAAATTGATTATGCAAGAAATGTACACCATTTCAGATGAGATTACAGATGAAAGTTCCATGCAAACATTTTTTGTCTGCAGCTACTATAGCACTTTGCCATTTTACCTGACTGCAAGATATTTTTGGATTTGAGGTTTTTGCAGCTGTGAAATTAAGATTATTATGATCTTCTTGAATGTGATCCTGTGTAGTCTATAAGATAGATACCATTGTGCTTCATAGTAAAGCTGCCATGAAGGTTGAGGAGCAGGTTGTTCCAAAACAGTGATACTTTCCATATTTCAAAGTTACACAGCCTAGAAGACCATAGTCCTATGACTCTGTAGTTATATTTTTATTCAAAATAGGGGTTCATGTTATGTTCAAAAATGTGGAAATATGTGTTGAAAAGAATCAAACTGAGTATAGTTGTCTCTTGAAAAATTTGCTATTATAATCAGGAGACTTTCATTTCCGTTAGAGCCATTCTTAAATACAGCTTTTCCAGTTATGTATAGATTCGTATCTAGTGTCTCTGCTGTTGTGGTATATCTTATGACATAGCAGCCATAAGATGTGATCTTTCTTTCCACTCATTCAAAGATAAGGAATGTCATTGTAAGGAGGATACAGATTTTTGAAGTGGCAGATAGTGATTGCAAGCATGAAATACTGTGTGCAGTAAGAGTGACACAAAGGTTCAGTAACATGACTACAATATGTTCTCATGCACCAGTTGTAGAAAAGGGATGATGTGAGGTAAGATCCCTTCTGAGATAAATTTAGTGAGGTCTGTCTGTGAGCTACAGATTTTGCTGCCAGCAGTGATGTGATTGTGAAGAGTACATATTTTCCAAGTAAAAAGATACATTAGGAAATGTAATTTTTGTATGGTTTTACCACAAATCAGCATGAAAATGTATTGTTAGAAAAAGGTGTGCATCATATGACAATGGCTGAAAGCTGGTGTAGAGCCAGAGGAGGCAGCCATTGCTAGCCAATAGCCAGTAAACATGCAGGCCATTATTAGACAAGAATCTGCTTACACATAACACAATAATAGAGGAACTGCTGGAGGTGGTGTGCCATTATTGCTACACTGATAAATGAATCCATAATTCTTTAATAGATGATTAATTGAGAGCAGTATGTTAGTGACATTCTTCAGATCTGTTTTGAGAGAACTCCAGAAGAAGAAAGCAAAATTAAAATTTTGTGTGAGCTTAATGCACACATGTAAGAAATACAGATTTATAATAAATTAGTAGGGACTGAAGATGCTGTGGGTTTTCCATTATGTCATAGCAACAGCTGAAGGTAGTTGGATTTTTCCCTGTAGTGTAGCAGTGAACCCACTGTTGTCTGATTCAGCGCCTTTCTAACACTACAAGGAATGAAATGAAGTTGGCATGGGCTTGATCCCATAACACATTTTCAGGTATCCAAAATCATCTGAGGGGGATCGTCTGCTATCATGCCAGATTTGTTTGAAATATGTTCATTGGAGTGGATTTGATGAAGAACAAAGAGATGGACACATTTTGTGCTATATGTATAGAGAGATTAGCCTTGTACTTGCAGTTTTTTATTGCTAGTGGGGTGAGACTAAGTCCCTTGTACTGCGGCCACTTCTGGCCTATTGTACCAGCCCCAGATGACAGGTGAGGGTGATTGTGGAGCAATTGGTGGAATGAAGATTGGCAGGGGAAACCGAAGTACTCTGAGAAAACCTGACCCAGTGCCACTTTGTCCACCACATATCCCACTTGACTAGACCCAGGATTGAACACGGGCCACCACGATGGGAAGCCAGCGACTAACTGCTTGAGCTATAGTGCAGCCTTTGTGCTTGCAGTTAATGGAAGTTTTACAAAACAACAACAACAAAAATAAAATAAAATAAAATTTTGGCTATAGAAATTTCTCTTAATGATTGAATCTTGCCTCTCCCATTTTATGAGCATAGCCTGGCATGACTTTCCAGAAATTCAACTCTTCTTATGCTGTGAACAGGTGTGACATTAATAGAGTATATGTCTGCAGAAGTACCTACTGATACATGAAGGACCATTAATGCAAGTATTTAATTTGTACAATACAATGTTTGGCATTTCTCTTTGTGTTTGAATATGTTGTGTTTTCTGCAGAGTCACTGGACTACTACCAACAAGGTGATAGCTCTGCTGATGAGGGGGGCCCAGGCACTGAAGAGGCATCAGCATCAGTTATGGATACTGGCAGTCCTAGAACTTCCACAAATTTTGTTCGATGTACCTCATCCACTCCAGAAAACCCGCCTGCTGAGCCTTCAGCATCAAATCATGCTCCATCTCGGAGACAAGCTTTCCGCTCTCGAGAGCTTGAGCGTGATAGTATTATAAGCTTGAGAAGGGCCATATATCCAAGCGCACTCTCTCCTGCAAACCCTGCCTCTGCTGCACCATCAGCTGACATACTTGATGCTAACTCTGATGCTGGTGAGAAATTAGTGTGTTTTTTGTCAGCTCCTCTCTGTTTGATAACTTTTTTCTTCTTCGTTAATGATAAGTAAGAATTACCTAGCTTCTGATCCACTTACACAATATGGCAGTAATGTAAGTCTGTGTAGCAAGGTTTTTGATAAGTTAAAGAAATATCATTATTTCAGAAATCCTACAGTGCTGATAGTACCTGACAAAAGTTGCTTTTAATAATCTAAAATTGTTTAACTGTAAAAGTTACTTGTGTATTTGTTGCAACTTGTGTGAATTCTGCACAAACCATTTTTGTTATATGCATTGGTATTTTAGGCCTACAGTCAACTCTCGATTATCCGGGGGCGGATTAACCGGTTTGCNTAAAAATGTTATAATCATGTAACAAAATTAATGTGATTATCATATTGTTGCCGCTAGATGTATTCAGAAATTTCAGCACTAATTTTTCTAAAATGTCACATGGTATTGAAAGTATTGAGCATTAAATGTATGTGTTCCACAAATTTTGTTTGAAGTTTATACAATGCAGTGAGTATTAAGTGAAGTAAAAAGTAAGCTAAACATGTAAGATTTTGAAGTTCCATAGTGGTGATTATAAGAGTTCTATCTTCTGGAATATAACGACATGTAGTCCATTGAAAGTCAGTTGATGTTCTGAAGGAATGTCACCTCCATCTCCAGGGTCAAAGAATGAGCCAAGCAAGCAATGTGCTTCATGCTGGTTTCTTTCTTGACTTTTTCTTTGATTCTGAAGATCCTTCATGCTGGTTTCTTTATTGACTTTATCTTTGATTCTGAAGATACTTCTTGCTGGTTTCCTTCTTGGATCATTCTTTGACCCTAAAGATGGAGGCAACATGTTCCACCAAAACATTAGTTTGCTTGCAGTTGACTGCACAGCGTTGTATCCAAGAAAAGAGAACTCTTCTGAAGCTAAACTTACCTATTCTGAGTCCAGCCAAATGCTGGGTCAGAAGGAAAAGCTGAACTGAGGACCAAGTTTGTGGTATCATGCTGGCTGCTTAGGCTGTATGCACACCTTGGGTCAATTGTGAGTTGTGGAGTTGTGATTGTTAGGGGATTCGGGGGAGGGGGGGCATGCCTCAGTGCCACAGTGTTTAAAAATCACATGTTTTGTACCCTCAGTTTGAACATTGGCTTTTGCAGTGAGAAGCCAAAGTGTAACTGCCTAATATATGACATGGCCCAGCCTAGTATTTTGGCCTTCAGGTGAAGATTAGATTTGAGATTTCAGTGGCAGTGAAAGTTATGATTGTGGCCTTTGGGTTATGATGCCAAGTAGTTTCGTTGGTGGTTATCTCCATTGTAAGGCGAGATATGGAGTAGAGATGCAAACTTAATTTCTCAGGATGATCCTAAAAATGTCTGACTTGGCTTTTATTGGAGTCATTATAGCTCAGTTCATATAATGACTTGGCCATGGGCTAGATGGCCAGAGAATCAGGGTTTGATTCCCTGTTGGTGCAGAGATTTTTCTCATCACATGTAGGCAACTTGGGGGCCCACACAGCCTCCTCTCCAGTGAGTGCAGGGGACTTTTCCCCAGGAATAATACATCGTGGGATTGGAAAGTTCCCAGACTTCTGTTGTTACTGCCTCGGTGAAAGAAGATCAGAGGGAAGGCCATGTCACACTTCAGCAAGCCTGTTGCATCAGTCTGCCACATGACACTGCGCTGTGAACACCCATTATTATTATTATTATACAAGTGCTTTTTTGACTTTGTGTTTTTTTTGTCTGCAATGGATGGCAAAATTGAGCAATGTGTCTGCATCAAGTTTTCCATGAGGCTTGGTAAATCCACTACCAAAACTCTTGAAATGCTTTGTGAGGCTTCTGGAGAACATTCTTTAAGCTGGACAGCAGTTTTTGAATGGTAGTCATGTTTCAAGGCTGATCAGGTGTCAGTTGAAGATGATGAACATTCAGGGTGACCAAGAACAAGTAAAACAACAGAAAATGTTGAGGGAATTTGACAACTCATCTACAAAGAATGTCACTGAACAATCCATGAGCTCGCAGACACTGTTGGGATCAGATATATAGTTTGTCAGGAGATCTTAACAGAAAATTTGAACATGCGCCACATTGCCATGAAGTGTGTTCCTTGTCTCGACAAATGAGCAAAAGCAGTGGCACGTAAGTGTGTGGCTTGAGCTAGGAGAGAAGGCTAACAAGGACTCAGCTTTTATCTCTAGGATCATAATGGGTGATGAAACTTGGATTTACTCCTACAGTTGTGATCCTGAAACAAAGCAACATTCATTGTAGTGGAAGAGCACAATCACCAAGAGCAAAGAGGTTTGGAGTTCAACAAAGAGAAAGGGATTGTTTGCCATGAATGTGTACCTCCTAACACTACAGTCAACTCTGACTTTTACTGTGCATTATGAGACGCTTGAGAGAAAATGTGCAAAGAAAAAGACTGGAACTTTGGTGCAACCCCATCTGGTTCCTTCATCACGACAGTGTGCCTGCCCACAGGTCCCTAACTAACAACAACATGGTTATTGTGCCCATTCTCCTTACTCGCTTGACTTAGCCCCATGCGATTTTGCTTTGTTCCCCAAATTGAAAATTATGCTGGAAACATTTTTAAACAGTGTCTGTTATCCAAAGGGAATTGCAAGCAGTACTTGACAGCATTAAGGAAAATGACTTCCAAGGTGCTTTTGAAGCATGGAGAAAATTATGGGATCGTTGTGTGCATTCCCAAGGAGACTTATTTTGAAGGAGATGGCAGCCAAAGTTGAGTAAGTTAAGTCAGCATTTCTTTTTCGACATAGTCTGGGAACTTTCCAATAGCACTTCATACGCTCACTACTCATCCCATTTAGTGCCATGGTTAAGAATGTATAACACTATACATCAACTTCCCTGTATGTCATCATGGCTGGATGTTTAATTAATTAAGCACAGGGACAAGTTTTTTCCTTTATCTTGGCCTTTATCAGAAAGACCTACATTATGTAAAGAAGTATACAAATGGAACATAACATTTTCAAAGTTTGTATTGTCCATTATGGACAAAAATTTGTTCTCATCATCAGGAACTCTCTGTGAGGGCTGCCAATACAAAATTTAATTAATATCTAGAGAATGTTTCATGTGTATGAGAAATTGGTGGGAACAGTTATTACTGTTTGAAATTCAAACACTGAATTTAGAGGTATTTGAGATTCTCATGACAAATGCTTCTGTGTTCTGATTGTTGATTCCCTGGAAAGTGGTTATTTCAGATTATGAATAAGGAGTGCAGGGTTTCAGTCATTGTTACATCCGTCACCGCGACAACTGCTACAGTTGGAACGGACACTTCCACGACGACAAATACGTGGTAATTGTGGAGTTCCCACAGTGACAAATCATAGCAACAAATTGTCGTTGAGTAACAACGGATGAGACGAGACACATTACCGGTGTAATCTATAAGGAATGTTCCCGAAGCAACGGATTGCCAAACGTGAGATCGAACCTTGGTGAGGGGTGTCCTCTATTGGGTCCACATGTGCCTTATATAAAGGGCCTGGCCTCGAACGAGTATTGGATAAAATATGGAGTAATAGAGTATTGAAATTGACAATTGAAGATTGAGTATTGGAGAACTGGAGTATTGAGAAGAAGACAATCTTGGTATAGCTGCCGCCAGAGACAGTTGAGAGCCAACCACGGCCAAGGGTAGTTGAGACGTCACATTTGAGTATTGGGCCAGAAGTCAAGTGATACTGCAAGTGATAATAATTGTAAGGTTTGTAAGTGCAAGTATCCCATAAATATCCGCTAAGTCAGAGACCCACGTGAAGGTATTTGTTGTGTGACATACCCAACACGTGACAATATCTTACAAGAATGTGACATTCCTGAAAGTAATGGCCTAAGTGGTTAGTTATATAGAGACAGAGTCCAAACTTCACAAAGAAGGATAAAAGAGGTTAAGAATAAGAAGTACACTATGCATAGGAGATTTGAAACTGCTAGCAGCAAGAGGTTATGCAGTGTGTTGCACCATGTGTAAAATATTTTGTACATTTGATCATATGCTTCACATTTGCAGTGTGTTTACATCTGATACGTAATATATGTTATAGAAGAAAAGTAATGAAGCTATCTGTGAAGTTTATTGAATTCATTGAAGGTTTCACAGTATTTGGTATAATAATGGTACATTTTGGTTAGACACACCAGGGTTCAACCATCGGCAGAAAGAAGCAGAGGAAGAGGAGGTGTTGCCAACACTCAGTGAGCAGTTAATGCTTGACAGATTATGGGACACCCTTAGTTCCTGCTTGCTGGAGCTCGCAGACACTCCAGATCATCATGCTGTCCTTGTGCTACAGGTGTGTGATTAAAGCAGTCATTCTTACATGAGTTTGTCAGATCCTGTTGCAGTCCCTTTATGGATTTGTCATTATAAGTTTCCACCATAATCCCAGTCTCCATCTTCCATTTCTTGGTCTTTCCAAATGGACTTTATGTATGGTTTCCATGTACATATTTTCATGTGTATGAGTGACTATAAACAGGGTTTTGATTGGTAATCACACTTATAGACCACTCACAGAATGTAACTATAAATAACTACAACAGCTTCACTGAGTTACACACTACAAAGATCACTGTAACTACAGCACACATAAAGTCTTCTCAGTCTTCCCTAGCTGTTCCTCGGTAGTGGATTTCAACGGCGGACGTTCTCCATACTCTGGGTTCCTGAACTGTCCCTAGTCTCAGCTACAGCAACTCTTGACTAACTGTAGCTCCCAACTTGTCCCACTTATAACATCTCTGCACAGGCTGCACAGAAAACACTGTTTCTCGTTTTAGTTCAATTGTTGTCATGGGAACTTGTTTGTTTGCAAAACCATTACTCAGTAATGGCTGTTGTATATTTGCTTACCTTGTGGTCCTTACCCAGCAACAGGTCTACATGTCACAATATATGTACGTCTTTTTNTTTTTTTTTTTGGTCATTGTTTTTATAACCAAATGTGTCCATATGCATGCAGTGACCATCTGACCAAAATTCAGTGGACTGATGAGAATGGTAGTGATGCATGTGTGTAGAGTAATATATTGTAACGTGTTTTGCTACTGAAGACACCGTTCAGTTTGTTAATTGGTTTATTTAACAACCTACAAGTATCGGCTACAATTAATTACAACACTGTTGTGGGGTTTCACACTTTATGACCCTATTCGCAATAGTCTCTTCACACTGTCTTCAGTAGTCTACACGTATTCACAGTATGGGAGCTATGTAAGTGTCCCTGTATCATACACTCCCAATTACGCACATGTCCGGTTCTTCTTTCCGCAACGGTTGTTATATTCGTAGGCTGCTGCCTTGAGAACTCGTTCACTGCTGACTTGGGAACTTGTTCACTGCTGCCTTGATAACTCACTTCGGCAGCTGATACACTTAACTCGTTCACTGCTGACCGGAGAACTCTTCGGCCGCTGATACACTTTAACTGACAACAACAACAACAACAACTGAACTCGGCAACGGCCACATTTCAACTGACTGCGGCGGCTGTGTAGTTCCCTTATATAGTCGCAGCGCTTGCCTGTTACGTAATCGGCACCGCTGTTGCCTGTTACCCGTGTCACAGCCGCGTTGCGTGTTACGTCACAGTGCGGAGGGGGGGGACGGAGCGCTGACTCATCCGCCACGTCACTGCTGGGTAGGGAGGGGTTGTCCTCCATTGCGCAACATGTCACACTATATAGATATATATATATATAGTGTCCATCTGTCTGTTGTATAATGTGACAACAGTTTTACAGGTTTGTTTGGCTTACTTGTACAGGATGCATCAATGAATCGGGTGATTTTAAAAACATTATGAACAGTAAACTATTGCATTTATTTGAGTTTAACACATATGAATACAGTGTAAACATAAAAGCATTTGGTTTTCTTAATTAAGTCACTGAAAATAGAAGGCTGTTTCCCAAAAATAATATCCGACAGATGACCACCATTCCACTGTTGGCCCTCGGTAAGTCACTCATTACTGTTTGCAGTATATCTACGGGAATTCATTCAGCTTCTTCCCAAATTCGATGTCTCAACTCCTGAACTGTGTAGGGTGCTGGAGCTTTGAAAATTTGTGATTTCAAATGCCCCACAGAGAAAAAATCACATTTGGAAAGGTCAGGTGACCTGGCTGGCCATATGATATCCCCATATCTGGAGATATGAATTTTATAGGGGTAGAAATGGAGATCTTTGTGTAAAATCTGTCGAATGCTGGCTTTAAGCAGCCCAACTGGTGTAGCATGGCGACGTTCAGACCGGCGTGGACTTCGTTGAATGGCTTCTCTTACTGCTGCTACATTCTTGGGTTTACATGCTGTTTTTACACTACCACCTTTCATCTTTAGTGTAGAACCAATAACCTCAAAGTTTTGAACCCATGTCTTGATGGCATGGACAGATGGAACTGCACGATTGCGATGAATACCAAACTCTCTTTGAAATTCACACTGAGTGATCATGAAACTGTCATTGTTTCTGTAAAATGTTTTCACAGCAGAAGCACATTGTGCTCCAGTCCACGGCTCCATTGCAACTAAAACGCTTTGAAATAAGGTGCTGGGTGGCAGTAGTGGCATTGTCCCCACTCCAACCAATCCTGGAGAAAACACTGCTGCCAAATCACCCGATTCATTGACGTACCCTATATAAGTGGGAACAATTGAAGTTCTTTTATTTCTCTGACTCTGTTATTGGATTTCTTCAGTTGAATGGCAGTCTCTTAGAAGTTGAACAAAAGTGCTGCTATTTGCTATGGTACTTGACCTCCCTAAATGCTTTTGACTGCCTATCTTAATTCTGGTTTTATGACAATGCACTCATCCACTCAGTTCACTCCTACCCCCTTCTCATTATGAGAGAGAGGTGGTGTGAGAAAGGCATTTTGCTTGTAATTTGAGAAACTGCAGTACAGTATTTATTCAGAAAATAACTTCAGGAGTAGCCAAGATTCTAAGGAATTGAAAAGAACCAGGTCTTTAAGAAAAACTACAAGTGTTACATTTCTTAGAAATCTGTATTGAAAGAAAAGCCACTGAAACTTTTTGCAAGGCTTGTGTGAATAGTATAAAGAAGTGGGAAAGTAAGGTACCTCATGTGAGCCAAACATGAATCTGATAATCTCTGCAGAAAAAGAAAAGCCTGCAATGATGGTCTTTGTAAAATTACCCTCAATTGGTTTGACAACATGGGAGCATTTTGGGTCCTGTGATTCGAGCAGCAGCTCTCCAGTTTGCCAAGGAGTTTGAAGTTCAAGATTTTCTGGCATCAAATGGATGGATGAGGAATTTAGGAAGAGAAATTTAACAAAATCTCTGTATGAACAATCAAATGAAGTGTCACAGGTTGTAGTGAATTTCTTCAAAGGAACATGCACTGAAATGATTTCAGGCTTTGAAGAAAATTACATCTTTAATGTGGATGAGTGTGGGCTCCTGTTTTTAATTGTGTGTGCTAAGACATTAGTAAGTAAATGAGATAAATGCAAAAGTGATATATATGTTAAGGAGAGGTTAACAGGTTTATTAGAATCAAGTGTTACAGTAGAGAATCTGCCTCCATATGTGATTGGTAAAGCAAATTAAATAAGTTTTGAAAATGTCACTCTAAACAGTTTTCCAGTTACCTGGAGAATTAATAAATAGGTGTGGATGACCTGTGAGAAGTTAATTGAATGGTTTATTATCATTAGCAAAGTGATGAAACAACAGAAAAAAATTAATGGTAGTATATAACTGTCCAGCTCACCAAAATTTGAAAACTTACCAAACATCTATTCAGGTTTGCAACCACTTGACCAGGGTATTGGGATAAAAAAATTTTGAGGCACAGTACAGGTAGCTTCTACTAACATCGTTTGTGGCAAGTTTCTATAATTTTGAGTCCATAACCGAATTTTTAAAGTCGGTAAATGTGCTAGATGCTGTTTTATGGGTTACTGAACATGGGATGAAGTTAGTCCAGAATAAGTCACTAATACTTTGCTGCAGCAGGTTTTGTGGTTAATTATTTTACGTCAGACCAACAAGAAAGGAAGACTGAAGGTTTGTTGCCACTTAAATCGACTCTTTGTTAGAATCATTATTGAGCTGCAGGGTCACTTCAAGCAAAGTTATTGAGATGGACAGTGATATTCCTGTATTCAGTACAATCCAACAGAAGGACATGATAACCAGTATATTGTGACATGATGCTTGAGAGCTGGATTAGTCGAGCCAGAGTAATTGTTTATTGCTATGCAGCAACTTGGTAAAGACGTTCCTGTGGAAGGGCAAGGGCAAGGTAAACACACCTCTGTAACAACAGAGAATTTCTTAGGAAACGGTGTTTTCTGTTGGGGCTGTCCTGAGACTATATAAAGAGGATCTCGAGCAGCTGAGAAAAGAGTTGAGAGAGTCTCTTGAGACGGCAGTCAAAGATGATGGAGAAGGCAGTGTGTGTCATTTAATGGTTTATGGAGTGTAGTAACAAGTTGTGTAAGTGTGATAAATCCAGTCATCAATCCAAAACCAGTCTGTAAGTCATGCACAACCCAAATACATGACAGTATTGAGTGAACTGAGTGACGAACACGGGACAAGATGAACACAGTGACAGAGGAGAGGAACCTAATGAGAGCAATGTTGATCCTATACAAGATACAGTAAGCAGCATAGAAACTTTTGATATGTTAAGAAAACTTAAGTATTTTACAGTGAAGAACAACACTGAAACGTTTCATTGGTGCCAGAAACTGTTTGAATGAACGCATAATAGCAAACAAAACAACTGATTAACAACCATTAGATTCATTTGTGAAAGAAAAATATCCTGTGTAACAGAAAAATCTCAAAAGAATGTGAAGTAGCTGTTGTAAGTACTGTAGTAGTGTTTCAAATACTATATCTTCCTTGAAATTAAAACATATCATTCTATAATTATAGAAATGCAGTTCATATTTCTTGTAATTAGTTACCTTCATAATTTGCTTACTGAGCATTTAGAATTACATAAAACTTTTCGTACTTGAGTTATTGACAACAAATTTGTGTTTTATGGCCGCTATCTTCACGTCCCAAGGGTGGTAACTATACATAGGTTCTACTGTGTTGTTTTTGTTAGAGTTTTATGCTTCATTCATTTAATATTATAGTAAGCGTCCCAGTCCTGTGTTTTCTGCATTTCTTATCAATGATGAAGTAACATCCATTTCTTCCCTTTACCCTGTTCCTCAGGTTATTTTCCCTTGTATTGCTGTGCAATATTCAGATAGCACCTGTTTCTGTGCAACAGTTGAGGTATTGTTGGACTATAACAATGCAGTGATGTTTTTTGATGTTGTCTGTGCCGATATGTTGTAAGCAGGACGATTTGAAACGAGTTAGTTGTTGGTAGAAGTTGTCAGCAGTTGGTTGAGTGAAGTGACGTGATTTAGCTGGTTGGTTGGTGAGAGAGGTCAGTTATCAGTTGAAAATCAGTCTGTGAAAAGACTAGGAGATTAGTGTGAAATGGCCATCAGCCTGCGACCCAGTTAGTTGAGTTGTCAGGTGACAAGAGTTCTGCATGGGCAGCTCTGACAAGAGGACCTGAGCGTGGGAAGCCGAAGGATCTCCACTGTATTAAATCTATTGCCAGGAAATGGCTAATGGAGACTGTAATAGACTGAGGATGCTAGTTTGTGTGTGTCAATGAACCGTAAAGTGTATTTCTGAGTAGTATATACAAGTGGTGAATAAATTCAATACCTAATCCATGCTTCATCTATAGTCACAGAACCCCTAAAACTAGACAGTAATGTTGGTCAGAGTTTTGCATAAAATATGCAGATATGCAAGTACAGCTTTACATAATACGAGGGGAGTTCAAGTTCTAAGGTCTCCGATTTTTTTTCTCAGGACTGGGAGCAGATAGACACATGCGGTTTAGTTTAAAACACGTGTTAACTCTTTATGAATGCATGACAGAGATGGCAGCACTCTACGGCACACAGGACTCTAGTGGTAGCGGCGAGAGTGAGGAGTGTTTTTGATACTTAAAATGGCGACGTTTTCGTTACAAGAACAGAGAGTAATCATTCGTTTTCTCCACTTGCGTGGTGTGACATCCATTGAAATTCATCGCCAGTTGAGTGAGACGTGTGGTGATGGTGTCATGAATGTGAAAAATGTGCATTCATGGGTGCGACAGTTCAAAGAAGGCCGAACGTCGTGTGACAACGAACCAAAACAATCTCGGCCTCGCACCAGCCGGTCTGACAACATGGTTGAGCGAGTTGAGAAAGTTGTTTAGGAGGATTGCCGATTGAGTGTGGAAAACATCGCCTCCAAAGTTGGCATTTCCGTGGGATCTGTATACAAAATCTTGCATGAAGACCTGCGAACGCGGAAAGTGTCCTCCAGGTGAGTGCCACGAATTCTGGCGGATGACCACAAGGCTGCACGCATGGCAATTTGCCAGGCGATGTTGACACGTGATGAAGGCATGAATGGGACTTTCTTTTCATCAACTGTAACAATGGATGAGACATGGATGCCATTTTTCAAGCCGCTATTGCATCAGCAATTTTCCAGTGGTCAAAACAAACTCCTACAGAAGCGTTCGCAGCGGCCATGGAATCATGGCATCGACGTTGTGAAAAATGTGTACGGCTGCAGGGAGATTACGTTGATAAGTGACAGAAGTTTCAAATTTTTTGTACGATTATTGTGTGAGAAGAAAATCGGAGACCTTAGAACTTGAACGCACAACGTATGTTGAGGTGATTACAGTTGAATATGATGTAACACTATCACCTACAGGCTGCTTCCTGATTCCTTGATGATCATTGAGGTGAAAATTTCTCATGATAGAATTTTGATTCATGCATGTTTGTCTTAAAGTTGAATGCAGTATGGGAACATTGTATGGATGTTCATGCCTACGTATTGCACCACGTGATTCCTTGATGATCTTTGAGCTGAAAATGTTCCTTGATACAACTTTGTAACCAACACATAATTTTCATTAATGATGTGTTCAAACACATTATAACCGGCTTCCAACCATGGCATCCTGGGTTCTCTCTCAGGTCTGGTCACTTGGATTTGTCGTTAACATAGCACTGGGGCAGGTTTTCTCCAAGTACTTTGGTTTCCCCTTCCAGTTTCCATTATGCCAACTACTCCACATTCATTAATCATCTAACACTGTATGGCTTCAGTACTGACAGTGTTGTTAAATAACCAGCTTGAATGAAAATTCTTGTATTTATTCTAGCTATAATTTTTTTCAGTTTACAAATCATTGAGGAAGGTTTATGGATGTGTGTTTTGATTTACAGCCAGCTGTAGAATCATTCTTCCTAGTGCATGCAACAGCTGCTGAAGAGCATCGATTAGCATATGATGGACGTGACAGTCGCAATGTACAGGAACAACGTCCTCGTGAAAATCCTGCCCCACCAGAGGTAGCTATCATCCAGCCAGATGTGGCTCCTGCATCAGATTCAGATGGCAACTCTACAGCACAACCCACTTCTGTCTGCTTCAACTTCAACTGGGAGGTCACACCATCTCCAGTAACACTTCCTCCTGATCAGCAAAAGTTCCTCAAGTTTGCAGGTCGGTGAAAATAATTTATGATCTTTCATATGACTGCAGTGTACTAACATTTCTCACTTCATATAAAAGTAAATTTATATAGCATTGATAGTCACACTGCTTTAAAATGGCATTTATTTGAGGCATTTGAACTGCAGCTACAGCTGGTGCAGTTTCCTTGTAACTCCTGTGAGTGTAGAAATCAAAACAGTGGGGGCTGATGATATTGCAGTTTTGTGTGGCAGATCATCATCAATTAAGATGGATGACCTGTGGTCAGTTTGATATAGAAGCATGTGCTGAAGAATTGAGTATATTGGTAGATGTCATGTGTGAATGATGTCCAAAGTATTTGTTATCTTTTCAAACTTGCTGCATACTCTCAGTAAATATGAGGACCATTTGAATATATTTTTGACTGGATTATTGGTGCTGACACAGTTAAACCACACAGCCTTGGTCAGAATTTTAAGAGACTCAAGGTCCTTTGAGGTGGGGGAAAATGGGTTCTCTTTTTTGAGACACCAGCTTTTTGTGAAGCTCGTAAGTAGATGCAGATCTCAAGTTGCCGGTAGAAGTATTCCCATTCCTTGAACAGATTGTCTTCATAGATGATTTGTTATAGTCTGTAACAAATTTATAATTGCAAACAATAAAGGAATTCTGGCTCTAGGATTTGCTATTTTGTCTGTGTACAAATGAACTTAGCATGATATCTGTGGCATGAATGGTGTTTTATTGAGGGATTATAAACTTATATTATTACATAATCACAAGTTTAACATTGAGAGCATGAGATTTGTAGGACTGGAAGTCTGCATGGGAAAAGTAGGCTTTATAATTTCTGTCCTGAATTTCAGGTTTATAGTCCATTATAAGGAGGGCACTGGAGAAACTTTAAACTCTTAATGAAGTAGAAGCTGTTGTAGATATAGGGTTCAAAGTGCATGGATTAAAATGATTCAGTTCGGTTTTGGTTACCTACTGTAATAATGGAAATCCAGAGTTTGCTGCTATTGATAAAAGTTTATTCTTTTCTGTTCAGTACTTGAAACAATTACATCATCTTATCTTCATATATTTAAAAGAATGTACTGTACTTTAGTGTTCAGAAACTAACTCTGTATAAAAGATATAACATGGCTACTTAAAAGTGAGGGGCATGTGATAGTGTAGTTTGTAGCCACACTATGCTGCAAGCTGGAAGGTCACAGGTTCAAATCTCAATCAGGTCATTGAATTTTTCATTTGACCCAATCCTTCCAGCTGCACTATGGCTTTGGGTTCAACTCATCCTCTAACAGGAATAAGTACCAGGAATCTTCCTAGGAGTGCTAAAGGGCAGCTGGCTGATAACATCACTGCCATCTGTGAACCGATTGTCTAGAAAATGTGGGAACGTCTCACAACCCTATAAGCCTCCACAGCCTGTTAAAAGGATAACTTTACCTTTTACTTAAAAGTGGATGAAACTATCATACTGTCCTGTTTGAATATGCCACTTATCTTCAAAGGATTGCTTTGTGTTGTCAGTTGCAACTTAAAAAGGGTCACCTTCTTCTTATGAGGACGAATTACAAATACGATTTTTGCACTTCTGCATATAATTATGAGGGTCATACTGAAAGTCATGAGCAACAATTTTTTATAAAGTAACATGCTTTATTATTGACAAACCAAATACACCACCTCAATCTACAGATCTTTTTTAATTTTTTCACATAATCACCACTTCTTTGTACACATTTCTCCCAGCGTTCTGGGNTGATTGTCTAGAAAATGTGGGAACATCTCACAACCCTATAAGCCTCCACAGCCTGTTGAAGGGATAACTTTACCTTTTACTTAAAAGTGGATGAAACTATCATACTGTCCTGTTTGAATATGCCACTTATCTTCAAAGGATTGCTTTGTGTTGTCAGTTGCAACTTAAAAAGGGTCACCTTCTTCTTATGAGGACGAATTACAAATACGATTTTTGCACTTCTGCATATAATTATGAGGGTCATACTGAAAGTCATGAGCAACAATTTTTTATAAAGTAACATGCTTTATTATTGACAAACCAAATACACCACCTCAATCTACAGATCTTTTTTAATTTTTTCACATAATCACCACTTCTTTGTACACATTTCTCCCAGCGTTCTGGGTGTTTGAAAATTCCCCTTCTGTAAAATTCCATTCCAGCCATCTGAAGACACCGACGCACTGCTTTCTGAATTGCCTTCCTTGTCTCAAAACGTCCACACAGCTGATCCTTCACAAATCCAAAAAGATGGTAGTCGGAGGGTGCCAGATCAGAGCTAAAGGAAGGGTGTGGAAGAACTTCCCACCCCATCTTTGCAGTTGCTTCCAGTGTGAGGCTAGCAGTGTGGGGGCGAGCGTTGTCCTGCAGGATGATGATGTTTTGTCCCGGACGTTTATCACACAATGCACGACAGAGCTTGTGCAGCACCTGGACATAACGAGCAGCATTGATGCTTTGCCCACGTTCCAGGAATTTTGTCAGAATAAACCCCTCTGCATCCCAGAAGACTTTGCCCATCACCTTTGCAGCTGATGGCACTGTGTTTACCTTCTTTTTTGATGGAGAATGCAAATGGTGCCATTCCATACTCTGCTGTTTTGTTTCAGGCTCGAAATGGTGAAACCAGCTTTGATCACCTGTAACAGTACAGAGCAAAAAATCATCGCCTTCGTGTTGATATCTCTGCACCAGTTCTGAGGTGATGACTTTTTGCTGACTTTTGTGGTCTTCGGTCAGTAACCGCAGGACCCAACAAGCACAAACTTTCCTATAGCCCAAGCTTTCAATCATCTCCTGTACTGCACTGTACCCTATTCCAAGTTTTCAGGCTATTGTGTCCACAGTCACATGCCTGTCATCTTGAATGATCTCATCCAATCTTTCCTTGTTGCATTCAGTTGAGGCTGTTCAAGGACGACCGCTCCAAGGCTCATCTTCGAACACTGCTCACACCCATGCACACACTTCCATAAGCACGCTGAAGTCTCTGGTGAATTTCTGCAGCAGGGCTTTCCTCTTTCACAAGAAGTTCAATGACAGCACGCTGGCGAAACGACATATCATTGTCGGCCATTTTATTAGGAGTGATACTGGTCACGTGATGCAAGCTACTGACGTCACAAGACACTCAAGGTTAAGACAACAGCTGGTTCCACATACCACTGTACTCTCTTTCGTCTCCTGTTCCCAGGTTCATGCAAAGAAAAGTTGCTCATGACTTTTGGTACGACCTACGTAATTAAAATAGCAGACAGTGAGCAAAATCCAGAAACCCATATTACACTCTCTCTCTAACTTTCGTAACAATTTTTACAGAGACACATCGGACGGTATTGAATCAGATTCTTCGCCAGTCTACTACACATTTAGCTGATGGTCCTTTTGCCGTTTTGGTTGATCACACCAGAGTGTTAGACTTTGATGTAAAGAGGCGATACTTCAGATCTGAGTTGGAGAGAATGGATGAGGGCATCAGACGGGAGGAACTGGCAGTCCACGTCCGTAGAAGTCACGTATTTGAAGATTCTTTCCGTGAACTTCACAGGCGAAGTGCTGATGAATGGAAAAATAGGTTTTACATTGTATTTGAAGGTATTGAATGCAGTCCATATTGCAAATATTTTCCTTAAAAAAATATGTTTCCAGTTTTATTCGGCAGTATGTTTTTCAGTTTTAATAATGAAACCATAAATGTTTGGTATGCAGAAATGTATTTTGAGATAACTGCAGATTGTTTTCTTTAATGTGATGATAATTGATAGTGTCTGTAACTTAAAACTTCAGAATTTTTTTTGTGAATGTCATGATTACTAACTTCATGGACTTTTAGATTTTATTAACTTCATGGAACCGAGCCCCTCTTGGGAAGCCACGAGTTGTGCAGCTACCCAAGAAATTCCCAACATTTTATGGAACCAGAAGGTTCATAACTTGTTCACAAGATCCCTCCACTGGTCCCTATCATGTGACAGATCAGTCCAGTCCATACCATACTATGCCATCCCATCTCTCTAAGGTCTATTTTATTATTATCCACCCACCTACATCTTAGTCTTACTAGTGGGCTCTTTCCTTCTGGCTTTCCCACCAGTATCCTATACGCATTCCTTTTCTCCCCCATTCATGCTGCATGCCCCACCAATTTCATCATCCTTGACTTGATCATTCTAATTGTACTTGGCAAATAGCACAATTTAGAAGTTCCTCATTATGCAGTTTTCTCCAACCTCCAGTTTCTTCGTTCCTGTTCATTCCAGATATTCTCCTGAGCACCCTGTTCTCAAACGCCTGTAGTCTGTGTTCCTCCATTAATGTCAGAGACCAAGTTTCACACCCAGACGGAACTACAGGCAAAATTATAGTTTTGTATATTATAATTTTTATGTTTTTAAACAGCAGATGAGAAGACAAAAGATTCTAGACTGAATGGTAACAAGCATTACCCAGATTCAGTCTCCTCTTAATTTCCTCCTGAATTAGGTTTTGCTTTGTCATTGTAGTTCCCAAATATCTGAACTGTGCCACATTTTCAAAGCATCTATTAGCTATCTTTAGCTCATGATTTTGCCCTGCATTCTAGTGATGAGACAGGAACATATACTTCCTTTTCTCTACGTTTACTTTTAGACCAACCTCCTTACTAGCGTCAATGAATGTTTGTATGTTTTTCTTTATGGTATCTATATTATCTCTCCATAGATTCACATCATCAGCATAGACCAGCGGCTGATGTGTCTGTTTGGGAAAATTATGATACCAAAATCAGATTGTTATTGATATGCTTTTATTTAGCCTGCTCTTGGCAGATGATAACAGTTATTGAAATAACAGTGACTGAAGTTTCAGTTGTAATTTCTATCATTTATGGCTTTCCAATAAGTCAGAGAGCTGTATTTCAGGGAACAAGTTATCATATAAGTATATTCAAATCTACAGGTGAAGAGGGCCAAGATGCAGGAGGTCTACTGCGGGAGTGGTATGTGATAATATCACGAGAAATATTCAACCCAATGTATGCACTGTTTACAACATCACCTGGAGATCGTGTGACGTATATGATCAACTCCTCATCACACTGCAACCCAAATCACTTGTGCTACTTCAAGTTTGTTGGCAGAGTCATTGGTTAGTACACCCTTAATAGCATAGTACAACCTTGATATAACAAAAAATTGTGAAATCCATAAAAAGTGTTCATTCTGTCGATCATTTCTGTAGTTTACTGATATATTGTCTGGACCACCTGTAACAGAACTCTTATGTCAGTGTTTATATATGTTGCCACCTAGTTAACCTACTTTTGAGAATAACAAGTTTGGTTCCAGTTGAGCTGTGAGTGAGCCACCTACCTAGAAATGTGCAAAGGGTGAGAGCAAAGTTCATATGGATCACTGATGGATGTTAAATTTTTCTGAAGTCATTGCTCTCTCCCTTGTCACTCTTTGCAATTGGTCCTTGACTGATGGGACATCTACTTTCAAGAGTCTGCCAGCACGGAGTGTCAAGTGCTACTGGTTGCCATTGTTTGCTGAATGTGCTATCACCATGTCAGATGCCTTCGGTGAAATAGTCTTGAGAACTGCTGTAGTCCTTGATGAGCTTCAGTGAAGTTAACCAGATTTTCTGAATAAATTCGGGCACCTTTACCTTGTCTGGCCAAGAATCTTCTAAATGCTGTTATGAAAACTGCTGCTGTTGTCAAAATGCTTTGCCTTTGCTATTATCTTTACTCTTCCCCTTGATGAGTTTCAAATAGCACAATATAATCTGTGCATATATACAACATAGGGTGCAATGATTAAATCCCACTTGGTGGTACTTCTCTTATTAGCTCTGAAAGACTGGTGCCTTTCGTCAAGAAATATGTGATGCAATCATATACTGTTTCTTGTGTTATCCTTATTGCACTGTGTAGCCAATATTGTCACACTGAATGGATTAGTGCTTATTGTCTGATATATAAACTCCTTACTAAGCACTCATAAGTGGTTATTTGGAAGAACAGTTCTGATACGTCTAAAGGCTGGAGCTTGTCTCTTTATGTGGTGATTCCATTTGGATGAAGGAATAGGTGCACTGAATTATATTGGCTCTTCTTGGAATTTGGTTTCTTATCCCAAAAATCCTTTAGTTCCTGTTATACTACTACTACTACTACTACTACTAGTTTGAATCAGAGAATTGAAATGATAGGCGGGTGCAAATCCACTGCTTTTATAATCCTGTTTGCTTAGTTTCTGTTGCTTTGAATTTCAAATGAAAAACAATTCAATAAATGATGACTGTGCAGAGTTGCTGGTTATGACAATCTGTCCACAATGTGGCTATTAGATAATTGAATCCTTCACATCAGAAAACCTGCAGTGTTATCAGCAGGATATCTTGTACCTCAAACAGGTAAAATCAGTAGTCTTAATTCTTTGTAAGCACCTATGCAATCAGTCCCCAAGGGAATTATATGAAGGGCATTCCATATATAATGCCTCCTATTATTTTATGTTAATCTGTAACGTCTTAGCTGGATGTTGGTGGTGCTGTAGTAAAGGTTGAACCTTCCCGCCAATGTACTGTTAGTTTGGTTGTCGTGCAACACATAGCGACAGAAGATCAGTCTACCAAAATGGCGTCTGAACACAGAAGTGCGTACGAGACAGATATGTGTTATTGAATTTCTCACTGCCAAATTGCACCCATTTACATCCATCTACACTTGCTAAAGGTGTATGGAGACGATACAGTGGATGTCAGCACATTGAGGCGGTGGGTAGTGCGTTTCAACAGTGGCGAAAGTAAAGTGCATGACAAACCATGCCCTCAGCATCCCCGCTCAGCTGCCACTCCTCACAATGAACAGCGCCTCAATCAGCTCATCCATACAGATTGGCAGATAATGACCAGGGAACTGTGTGCATGGCTTAATATCGGCTGTAATGCATTGGAAACAATGTTGGTGAAGCTGGGTTATCACAAAGTCTGTTCCAAGTGGGTCCCGCGGGTGCTTATACAAGACCACAAAACGCATTGACTGGAAGTGTGTCACAACCTGTTGCACCAGTTTGAGGCTGAAGGTGACAAGTTTCTGGACAGCATCATCACCAGAGATGGGACGTGGTGTCACCACTACGAGCCGGAATCCAAAAGACAGACCATGGAGTGGCAACATCAGTATTCCCCAAGAAAAAAGAAGTTCAAGACATGGCCATCGGCAGGGAAAGTGATGTGCACGGTCTTTTGGGATAGGCAGGCTGTGATTTTGTTGGATTTCCTGGAGCCTGGTGAGACTTTCAATTCTGAACGCTACAAGATGACGCTGACTAAGCTGAAAGCCAGCATTTCCTGAGTCAGGCCAGAGAAGCAGACAACCTTTCGCTTGCAACACAATAACGCTAGACCCCATACCAGTTTGGCGACCACCGCACACATTGCAAAGTTTGGCTGGACTGTCCTGCCACATCCACCTTGTAGCCCCGATTTAGCACCTTCAGACTTCCATCTCTTTGGGCCTATGAAAGATGGACTATGTGGGCAACATTTTCCAGACAATGCTGTCATTGCAGCTGTAAGAAAGTGGCTAGCCCTGCTGGCGCAGACTTTTACGGACGCAGCACACAGGCTCTTGTTCATCTCTGGCAAAAGTGCATAACGAATATTGGTGATTATGTGGAAAAATAACTGTTAGTAGCTGAAATCTTGCTCTGTTTAACTGTATTATTATGCTTTCTGTATCTGTTATAGTTTTCATTAAAAAAAATAGGAGGCATTATATATGGAACGCTCCTCGTACATGCATACACATCAACCACTCAGCAAACACACCTGCATTTGCCTCATGCTTATTTACAATGAACAAGGTTAGATGCATATAAATATATATCTTGGACATTTCTTTATTTTAAATTAGCCTGAAAGGATAGGAAGGAATTTCTGTGTAGAAGGTAGTACTCATACTAATGTCCAGTTGGTTCCAGAAGATATGTCTTCAGCCCCTTTGTTGGTATTAGAATGACTTGCTACTCCACTTGTGCGAGCTATTTAAATTTGCAAGTGTATCAGTCTCGTATGCTTTCATGTCCGTTTTTTTTTCTTTGGCCAACACTTTCGAACCTACAAGGCTGTTGCTTGGAAGTTGAGATTAATGTTCACATACCCTCTGTTGATATCTTGAAATACTATTCATTACTATTCTCTGTTCCATATGTCTATGAAGTCAATGCAAATAAAATATCTCTAACAGGTGATGGCATGTATGGTTCCTATTGGATTGCAGGCTGAGAATGTACTTTTCACATGATACAGATGATGCCTGTCTTCATTACGACATTAGTATGTTGGTATACAGGTGACATTGCAGAATAATTTGTGCATTGTGAAGTACGTTTTGAACTCATCCCCTTTTGTATGTCTATGTATGTTTCATAAATAATCTGAATGGTTTTTAAACTTTGATTTCTCAAACCCAATTAATAGGTCCACATCAAATGTTACATTTTTCAGCTAAGGCGATTTATGACAACAAGCTTCTGGAGTGCTACTTTACACGGTCATTCTACAAGCACATACTGGGAATTCTTGTCAAATATACCGATATGGAGAGCGAGGATTACAGCTTCTATCAGGGTCTCGTTTATCTTATGGAACATCGTGTCAGTGACCTGGGTTATGACCTTACATTCAGTGCAGAAGTGAGTAGAGGTGCTGAAGTGTAAGAAATTTGTTTATTATTTTGTGACTTCTGCACATTAGTTCTGACATCCAATTTTATTTCCAAATTACAGGTCCAGGAATTTGGGGTAACGGATGTCCGGGATCTGATTCCAAATGGCCGCAACATTCAAGTATGTGAACAGAATAAGATGGACTATATCAGATTGGTATGTCAGATGAAGATGACGGGAGCCATTCGTAAACAGTGAGTTATTCACAGTTGAAACTTATAATTCCTGTACACACCATACATGTTCCTTGCCAGTTGTGAGACTTGCAGATCAAGTTTATTTATAATTTGATTCAGGACAGACATTGAGTTATTTAATTTTCTTCGTATTTGATATAATAGTTACTCCAATATGTCTGACTCGTGAGTCATCAGAATCTTTGGGTAGTTGTAGGGTAAACTCTGCCTAAGACATCTTGGGGGGAGCATCATCATCCGATAGTGATGTAGATCATTATATCACTATTAGAAAGTTATGATATTCTATTTTCAGCATACAGTGGGAATGAAAATCACCATAAAGGAGATGTTATTCAATGCATAGAACTTCTTTACATATAGTTGCCAACTCAGTGTATAGCACACTGTCTTCTTTCTCCCTAGTAAGTGTTGAGCCTCATGATACGATTCCCATGAAGATACAGGAGGTGCATGTATAGATGATACATTTGAATATTTGACAAAAAAATTGTTTATTGTTTTTTATTATTATTATTATTTACTTATTGTTCTATATCTTGGTTTTGAAGAATATAAAAAGTGCTCCCCCCCCCCCCCCCATTAGCACTTGCTTAGTATGACCTCCATTTTGTCTAACAGCTTCTTGAAGTCAAACACATAAATTTGTGATGACCCTGTGACACATGTCCTCATCTTTCTCATTCACAGCTGGGTAATCATTGCTCTAATTTTCGTAATATTTTGAAGTTTCATTAGAAATGTTTTCTCCTTCAAAAACCCCCATAAAGATAAATCACATGGGTTCAAGTCTGGGCTAAGTGGTGGGCAAAAATGTCTGCAATTGTGATGCTCTGGATAGTGGTGTGACATGATGCAAGGACCGAAAATAGTATTCAAAAATCCAACATGACGTTAGTGGTGTGTAGCATGCCACTCTCCTGCATAAACCACTGATTGTGTATAAGCAGTTAGGTTGCCATACGTTATACAAAGTCAGCCTGGATCACATACAAATATCACTGAGAATTTACAGTTTCTTTGAAGAAAATTGGTCCGATTAAGTCATGAGTGGAAGTGCTACCCGAACGGTCACTTTTCTTCCATGGCTATTTCTTTTGTGAAAGTTATGTTCTATGTTCTCTTGCCCAAAAGTGCACATTCTGGTTATGAACAGTCCCATCAATAAAAATAGGTCTCATCAGGAAACCATATATTGCAGAATGTTGCATTTTCCTCTTCTTCCTGTGCTCCAAATTGAAACCACCTTTCCATATTATGTACAGAAAGAGAACTCTCTTTGTTTTGGCAAAAAAGACAAAAACTTTGCTCTTTTCAGTCATCAGATATTTGTGATCTGCCATTACACTTAACTGACATCTAGTTGCAGCATGGCATTCAGCGTTTTTGGTAATCTATAAGAGAATTTCCCAGAACTAATCGAAAGTGTTGCAAAATTAGAATTACATGCATTGAACGAGTTTTTTTAAATTGATTTTACGAATGTGTCAAATGTTTGTGTGCCACCCTGTATGTGAGCAAATCATACTGGTAGAAGCCACACCATTTTATAATTTCCTGCCATCAGTACTGCCAACTTAGTATCCATGTGAACTTCTGTGATGGGAGGGACACCATTGCCACTTTGCACATTAAGACCTAGAATATGCAACTTTCATGACCTCTGTAGCTTCTCTGTTTTGCTAAGAATAGAAAAGTTTTAATATTATTATAGACATTTGTTGGGTTTTTTCAATGCACATTCCTCTGAAACACACCTGACCTTTTATTGTCATTTCTTTTGAACCTCTCTGTTAGAATATGCCATTAGGTAGGTACAGGAAAACGGCAAGGAGATATAATGGAATGATATACATCACCTTCTTATCTATGCTAATTATGTCAGTTTATTGAGTGAAAACATGAACATTATGAAGAAAGTTATATGTGCTGTATTAGACACTGGTAAGTTTACCAGGATATAAATACAGAGAAAGCTAAGTGTATAATTATGTCTCATCGCCAGAATATCAGAGCTCATTCTGTCATTGTGTTCTTTCCAGTTTCTATGATGTTCTACAAAATGGTTTCTTTGTGAAATTTGTAGTTCTCATTATTTCTTTTATGGTCCAGAAGGATCTGTTCTGTAGTCCACATGAAACATATTTCTGCTAATAATCTTTTGTTATCCATTTTCATTTTCTATGATTCACTGCCATAAGATGGTTTTGCCCTTGTATCAGTAAATCATGATCAGTGAGAAGAACTGATGAAGGGAAACTGATTAATGAAGTTGTTGTGCCTAATAACAGAGTAAGTTCACCAGATGTTTTTAGACAGGACGGATATGTTTGTTAGATTTGAGGTTGTCATAGCTGTGACTATGAAGAGTACTAACTGCTGGGATGTGATGCTATGTAGCCTGGCAAAAGTATCAGCATGCCCTGGAAACTTAATGAAACTAATACTAGACTACAGTGTGTCATCCCAGAATATGGTACTCTTCAGGATGGATAATTATTTGAAGTGTCTCTGGGATTACAGGATCAATGCCTTTTTGGAAGGCTTCTATGACATCATCCCAAAGCGGTTGATATCGATCTTTAATGAGCAAGAGCTAGAGTTACTGATCTCAGGATTGCCTAATGTGGATATTGAAGATTTAAGAGCTAACACAGAGTACCACAAATATCAACCCACATCCCTCCAGGTGAGAGTCAACACGTGGATGGATATCATCATTAAAAATTTATGACAATAAGTTCTGGGAGAAACTGATTGCCTGTTTTCCATTTATACATCACTGACAACATAGAAAATAACACATCCAACAATTTTTTATTGCAACAGGAACATGTTTATTTAGCAACCGGGCTTTTGCCTAGCAATGATTGGGGGAATACACATATCACACAGACCGCATAGAAAAGGATGTGTCCAAGGATTAGAAAATGATTCATCCAAAATCTCTTTTGTTGTTGCATGTTTATTTGTTGCCATGGAAATGTGTTTACCAAGTGATTACGTAGCAACAGTGTGGGGGGTTAAGCACGTGCGGACACACAGGTCTCTTCTGATCAGTTTCACAATCACCATATACAAGACATAACACTTCCCCCACATATGAGGAACACATACTACGTCAATACAAGACCAGGAAGAACCTCAAATATGTACATCTCTAAAAGAGATATATCTGCACAACTACTACACCCAGACAAAATGTAAGAAAACCTTTTATATACATTTGATTATTCGATTTGATTTGATTTGATCTTAAAGATTTAACATTTTAACAATTAATATTATCCTGTATTTTGGTACACATGATGGAAATAACAGGTTCTAGTTTGGATGATTGGCTTTATTAGCACTTTGGTTACACTCTATCTCGTAATTACAATTAATACCGCACTGTTGGTGATTTGCAAAATATACAGTTCACCATTGCACATGCACTAGGATTATTTCAATTGATTTGATTTGAGCTTAAAGATTTAACATTTTAACAATTAATATTGTCCTGTATTTTGGTACACATGATGGAAATAACAGGTTCTAGTTTGGATGATTGGCTTTATTAGCACTTTGGTTACACTCTATCTCGTAATTACAATTAATACCGCACTGTTGGTGATTTGCAAAATATACAGTTCACCATTGCACATGCACTAGGATTCTCCATCTTCACCAGTCGTATTCTGGCAACAGATCTCAATGCAGAAACTAGCACTTCAAATCAGTATGAAGTCTCCTTTTTATTTCATCTTCAATCACTCTGTACTCAGATAATGTTCACAATTCACTGAGGATACTCTCCATTCTTGGCCTTGTATCTTCAATTGCTGAACCTCCTGGACTTAGCTGCTAGTGGACTCATATAGCCGCAGCATGGGCAACACAGAAAACACAGTTCTGTTGTTACATAGCGCAGACCACACAGAAAACAAGTCATGTGATAGCTTTCTCGCCAGTCCATTGGTGTGCTGACTGTTGCCTAGCAATGAGCTCTAAACATTCATCCTGTTGTTGCATGCATGTATCACAGTGTGTTTATCAAGCCATTGCCTGGCAATGCGTTTACATGTCACAGTATTTAATCTTACAGGTGAACACGCCTTTTTGTGTATAACAGCATTATATGTTACCAAAGAAAGCAATATTCCAATATGTAAATGTTGGCCAATGTAGGAATCACATATTTTACACACAGGAATTTCCAGACACATTTTTTTATGAAAAGTTTAAAAGTTGTGTGAGTTAATGTAGTAACTACAAATGTTTCTTTGCTTCAAATTAGATGACATTATGAACCAGCATGATGAGGTCCTACAATATGATGAACTAATTACAAACCAAAACCAACATTGATAGATGTCATTAAGATCCCAATCAATTACAAATATAACTATTGTACAAGACAGCCAGTTTCCAGTGGTACAACAAAGGAATGAACACAACAATCAGCATAGTAGGGGGAAAAGAAAGGACGGATGATGTTCAGTTCTGTGTGGTTTGGCCCTTTGTCGTCACGCATTTCCCCATGCATCCTGTTTGGTCTTTGGTACTGCAGTAGGCACTAGTACTGGTCCCACCTCATCCCATTTTTGTAACTTGCTGTGATGTTATGTTGCATGTACTTTACCATGCTCCCTCTGTAAGTCTCATAATTTTATATGTTCCATTCTTTAACCTTGAAGTAATTAGAATGTCATATGCATTTTACAGATTCAGTGGTTCTGGCGAGCCCTGCGCTCATTTGACCAGGCTGCCCGTGCCAAGTTCTTGCAGTTTGTGACTGGAACTTCCAAAGTGCCGCTTCAAGGTTTTGCTGCTCTGGAAGGCATGAATGGAGTTCAGAAATTTCAGATCCACCGTGATGATCGTTCAACAGACCGTCTGCCTTCTGCACACACATGGTATATCTTATCCTTCTACTTCTAAACTAAGGATTTATGAATTCTTGCATTTGTGATTTCAACTTTGACTTGAATTTGATTTTGAACTTCTCTACATTTTCATCCACTAAGGCTGAGTAAGTGAAATTTAATGATGTGAAATATCATCTTGTAATGTGATAATGCAGTAAAACTGTAATAGAGGAAGTGGGGCTTATAATAGTTACTTCATTACATTGACATAAACGACTGGAATTGTCAGTTTCAAAATGTTACTTACATATGTAAAACTGTTGCCTCCCCCCCTCCATTGCCTTTGGTACAAAGAGTAATCTGTTGCAAGCCACTCCTTTCTTCCCTCTTCGCACAACTTACAGTTTTGCTTTGAAACATTATGGCTAACAGTCCTTAAAGATCCTATTAACCCACCATCCCTCTTCCACCTTTGACTGAAAGAAAGTTCACATTTCAGAATCAGACAGCAGCTGACCCCTCTGAAGTTTTAACCACTGAAAAATGTACATCATTTGACATCCTCTGAATTTCCATGGCAGTCTGGTAGCTTGTTTCATTGTATTTTGCGTTGCTTTGCTTGTTTGTGTAGGCACCATTCAGCGTCTTCCCCACCTTGTCACACAGGTTTCCTCTTCTCCTGAGGTTCCACTGATTTTGGATAATGTCGCACAACACAGCTTATGCAGACACGTGTTTAAGGTTTTTTCACATCAGATATCTTTGATTGACACTGACTGAAGATGTCTAAATACCCTGAATTATGGAAACGCAACAGAAGAGCATATATTTGAATATGAAACTTGAAATAATACGTGTGTGTGAAGTCAGCAGCTTGTACAGAAACGAAGTAGGAAGGCTATGTGAATTAACATTTTTGAAAATATTTCCACAGTATGCATCCTGTTGTGTGTCACAAATATATGGTTAAGTAAGATTATCTGTAAGCGGCCTCCGTAGTCTAGAGGTAACGTTCCCACCTCATGACTTGTAGTACGCGGGTTCAAATACCCGGCGGAGGTCTTCAAATTTTTAAGGGCGGAAAAATTCAGGAACAAGTCCTCTGGGAGGGACTTTAAGCCGTGGGTCCCGTGTCGTAGCTTTACGGCACGTAAAAGAACTTCATATCTCCTAAGGAGGTCACTGAGCCAAATTGAGGACGTTTCCTACCCAACAGCAGTCTCTAATACCTCTGGTAGATGGGGGAAGCATTATAGATACCTCTCAGCCAGTAGAGCCGGTCTCGCTGGCTGGGCGGGACTGATGGTAAGTACCAATACCGGTAGGATATAGAGACTGGTAGAAATCATAGAGGGAAGCACAATGGACCAATACTGGTCTAAGTGCATGGGGAAACCCACCCTCTCCAAATAACTAATTAACTAAGATTATCTGTAAGCACAACAAAAAGAAATGTTTTTTTCAGTCAGTCAGTATTTCTCAGATAGAAATTTATTTCTTACCACTGCATNAGTCACCGTTATGTTACCGTGCGGAGGAGGGGGAAGGGAGCGCTGACTCGCCCGCCGCGTCACTGCTGGTGGGGGGGGTTCTCCTTTGCGCAACATGTCACAATATATTACAACATACCCAAGAAGAAATATTGCTTAGAATAGTAACAGCCCAAAGATTTATTACAGCAGAACTGTGGGTGAAATAACTTCCACATTGTGAGAGGCTTCAACTGTGGATTGACGACCTGTCACATAACATTGGATTTTCTACTGTACATGAAGAATCTTAGACTTTATTCCATAATTCCATTTTAAATTCTTTATTCATAATTCTGAATTCTGTATTCTTAATATACATGCCACCTGAAAGCCAGAATATCTTAGTCAGAGCTGGCATCCATTATTAGGCAACAGATCGGTATTCACAGTTCCGTATCATTGTCTGGGCGACGAAACAGTGTTCACGTGGCAACGCATACATGACAGATGTTACCATGGAAATGAAAATCAGGACTAATGTAGTTCCCGTGGTAACAAATACATGAGCTACAGGTGCACAGAACACGTGAAATGGAACCCTTGGACAAGGTGTCTTCTAGGTCGTCCGACTGTCAGTTAAATAGACCAGGACAGAAGTGAGAGGGGAGTTCTGTAGTCAGAATTGCAGCCAGCAGTTATAAGTAGAGTTAAGAATTAAAGGCAAAGTTCAGAATTGCAACCAAGAGTTCAGAAATGAAGTATGAGAGAACACGGAAAGTGTGTGACTTGTTATAGTTGAATTTGTGAAGTACTGTAACTGAGAGTAATTGTATTAGTAATGTCCAATAAACCCGATGATGAAATCCAGAATCCACAATTATTTTTAACGGAACCCTGGACACGTGACAATATCTTAACATATTAGTCACCTTCAGAATAATAATATCTGCTAATATTTTTAAATACAAATTCCTTGTATACTTCTGATATTTTGATAATGGTAATATTGTAATTCTCACACTGTAATGTAAGGCATAACTTTTATAATATGGATGCATTGCACCAAAATATTGAACCACATTGGGAGTTCAGTTAACTTTAGTCGTGTTATATCACACTGCCTGATGATGGTCCCATAAGAACCGATACATGTAGCTGTAAGAAATGAAATTCAATCTGAGAAATACTGATCTGCTGAAAATTTTTTTTTTTTGACTGATTACTTAACCACAATTATGACATTCTTTATGATACTAAAGAACAAAGAGAAATATAGTAGTACTAAAGTTCATTTGATGACTACATGTTGATGAAATTAATTTTGTGATATCGGTTCGTGACTGTGACAAATGTAATGTGATGAGTTCTGTCATGGGCGTGGAAGTTGCTGATGGTGCAGACTTTATACAGGTGTCTATAAAAGCAAGGTTATTTTTCATTGTGAGCGTGGTAACCTGAATGTGTCATTTGATAGGAAAATAAACAGTTAAGGGATTTGAGCATAATTTCTGTGACAGCTGTGCATCTTACAGTTAAGTATAATGCCTGATCCACAGCCATTGCTTATATACATAACATCAGAATGTTGCTTGTATTCCAGTAGTTAGAACAGCCATGAAGTAGTGAAGTTATGTAAGTAGCAGTGCAGTTTGAACTGCTTCATTTGTTACTTATATTACTCAAATACCATAACAGCAATACATTCATTCTCAGATGTACGCATGTGCAGGGAATTCTGGATAAAATGTGACTGAGACTTGTGAGTGAAATGTGAAGGACCTGTGCAAAAACTTTGTGGGCAGGACATTTGTGTTTAAAGGATGTCCCATGTTGAGCAGTCAGTTTCGAATACAGGATGTTGTATTAAGAAAATCTTTAACTGTTTGGTTCAGATAATGCTAACAAGAAGGAGAATGTTGAATTCTTTGTTTTCTTCAAATACCCATGTAAATCAATCCAAAGAACAAGAAATATTGCTATAGCATTATTGCATTATTATTGAAATACACTCAACTCTCGATTATCCGGGATAATGGTGGGCATGGAAATCACGATTAATCGAAAACCCGGTTAAGACAAATTTTATTAAAAGTAGTACTGTAATACTGTACCTTCATAATACTATAGGCCTACCTGTATTTAAATTTATTCAACCTCTTTTTATGTCATCTCATGGCCTATGTAATACTTTTTTTACATTACATGGAAGTATGAATTAGTTATTTGAATCACAGTGTTCAACAACATCCAACAGTTTTTACAAATATTCACACTTAACACTTAAAAAATTTTAATATTGTTGTTTGCTTTTTCGCGGCATTTTCCTTTTTACAGATATCCGTACGAAGCCTACGTAATATTAGCTTGTCACTTAATAAACTGTTCT